GAATAAAAAAGCATATTCACCTGGAGAAAAGTGATATTCACCGCGCTGAACGTCACGCGCTTTTAACTGTAACGTTATGGTAAAATGTTAGATATACAATTGGTTTTAGTAAATATTTGACCTCAAATGCATTGTTTTCTCTGGGAAAATGGAATAAAACAATAACTGTCTTTTGTTTCGGTAAATATGTAGTTTAATTGACTTTTGAAAAACTGATATTCACTTCGGCTGTCGGCCTCAGTGAATATCAATTTTTCAAAAGTCAATAAAACCGCATATTTACCTCATCAAAAACAGTAATTGTATAATCCACAGTATGCTTTGATAGCATTTGGTTCTCTTAGTTGTCTAATACATTTTTGGTCTCAAGCATGCCTGGAGATTTGGTTTAAAGTAGATGTTACAATAATACACTTCCTTCCTGTTGAACGTTTGGTTGGTTTCTGGTTCAGTAGTTCTGGACAAAGTCTTGAAACTTATCACTGTCTTTGGTTTTCTTTGTTTGTTGAAAATCTGTTGTCTCTTTTTTTCTTTGTTGTGAACCTGGTCATTGTTGAATTTATTCATAACTTGACTTGGGTGATTTAAAGATTGACATGAGGTGTGAGGCTTGTTCAATATTGAAGACTGTGGCGCCCTTAAGTTTTGGTTAACTTGTTAGGATGTTGACTTATTGTCTTTACCCAACATCTACTTTTATTTATATAATAAATACATTCCCCTATGAATTATGCAAAGCCCATCTTGAGTTGTTTAAAACTTTCTGGTATCAACAAATAAAATACTAGCATGCAATACAAGTGTATTGTCATGCAATAATAGTGTACCATCCTGCAGTGCTAGTGTACTTTCATGTAATACAAGTGTATTGCCATGCTATACAAGTGTACTGTCATGCAATAGTAGTGTACTGTCATACAATACTAGTGTACTATCATGCATAACAATAGTGTACTGTTGTGCAATACTAGTGTACTGTCATGCATACTAGTGTACAGTCATGCATAACAATAGTGTACTGTCATGCAATACTACTGTACTGTCATGGAATACTACAGTATACTGTCATGCATACTAGTGTACTGACATGCAAAACTAGTGTACTGTCATGCATACTAGTATACTGTCATGCAATACTAGTGTTTACTGTCATGCAATACTACAGTATACTGTCATGCATGCTCGTGTACTAGTATACTGTCATGCATGCTCGTGTACTGTCATGCAATACTAGTGTACTTTCATGCAATACTACAGTATACTGTCATGCATACTTCAGTATAATGCCGTGCATACTAGTGTACTGTCATGCAATACTACAGTATACTGTCATGCATACTAGTGTACTGTCATGCAATACTACTGTTTATTGTCATGCAATACTACAGTATACTGTCATGCATACTAGTGTACTGTCATGCAATACTACTGTTTATTGTCATGCAATACTACAGTATACTGACATGCATACTACAGTATACTGTCGTGCATACTAGTGTACTGTCATGCAATACTACTGTTTACTGTCATGTAATACTACAGTATACTGTCATGCATACTACAGTATACTGTCGTGCATACTAGTGTACTGTCATGCAATACTAGTGTACTGTCAAGTAATACTACTGTTTACTGTCATGCAATACTACAGTATACTGTCATACAATACTACTATAATACTATAGTGTACATGCAATACTACAGTGTACTGTCATGCAATAATAACTCATAAATACTAATGTACTATCATCAAATAGAACAATGTTCTGTCATGCAATAATAGTGTTCTGTCATGTACTACAAGTGTACTGTCATGCAACAATACATTATAGTGTACTGTCATGCAACACTACATAATATTGTACTGTCATGTAATACTATAGTGTACATGCAATAGAACAATGTACTGTCATGCAATAATAGTGTTCTATCATGTAATACAAGAGTGTACTGTCAAGCAACACAGCATAATAGTGTAATGGCATGGAATACTAGTGAACTGTAATGCAATACTAGTGTATTGTCATGCACTACTTCAGTGTACTATCATGCAATACAACAATGCACTGTCATGCAATTTTAGTGTGCAGTCATGCAATAATAGTGTACTGCCATGCAATACACTAGTATACTGCCATGCAATACTAGTGTACTGTCATGCAATACTAGGTCACTGTCATGCAATAGAACAATGTACTTTCGTGCAATATAACAATGCACTGTCAGGTCATTCTAGTGCACTGGCATGCAATAATAGTGTACTGTCATGCAATACTTGTGCACTGTCATGCAATACTAGTGTATTTTCATGCAATACTGAAGATTTGTCATGCAATACCTGAGAGATTTGTTATGCAATACTACAGTGTATGGTCATGTCATATTAGTGTATGCTCATTCAATAGTAGTGTAGTACTTTCATGTAATACTTCACAGCTATACATCTATTACCTTTTTTCAACTAGTTCAACCAAATTTTGCAAGATAGCCCATTATGTAACCTGGTCAGACATTGATCTTATAATTACGAATATAACACACAAAAAAAGATTTAAAATAAAGCATTCATGGGTCTCCTCCTTCAATTCCAAAAACTGTTCATCTATCTGTACTTTGTCAAAGTGAACCAGGAAGGGGAAGTGCCCTTTTGATTTTGGGATCAATACATCAAAGGTCAAGGTCACAGATGATAGATGGTAGACAGTTGGAAAGGAACAAAGATCATTAATTTTGAGGTCTTTATGTCAGTCACATATATAGTTACAAAAATAAACCGCCATGCCCATAGCCAGAATGTCTCTGACGGGTTTATAAGGGGTCATGATGCTCTGACTCAAAAAGTCTAATAGCAACGTACATCTCTTGTATAATGCTTTCCATCTTTCTTCTCTCAGACTTTAAAAAAAATAGCTCAATCATTTAAAATCATCATTTTAATTATATATTATTAAAAACTAAAAGCATTATAAATTGCTATACTTTGGCAAGATATATATATATATAAACAATATAATAAAATTTCAGTTCAATAAACAACTTAATAAACAATATATAGTTTACCTATCAATTCTTACATGTATGATGTAGATATCCACACAGAAAACTTTACATTTTATGAAATTGTAAACAATATACCTTTATCATTTAAAATATACATCCTGAAATGATGATAAAAGTAGAAATTATACATATAAAATTCATGTTTGAGGTAGATAACAATAGAGATTATTGGAAAAATGATGTAACGGGTCAGGGGCACTTTTGTTAAAATGTTAGTGATTTTAGTATACATGTGATATGAGAAAAGTTTAAAAAAACAACCTAAATTTGCATTTTTGAAGTGTTATTCTACCCATTCCACATTCTATATTCATTTCTGTAATAGCTCATATTAAATTCAAAGATTAAATCTCTACATGAATAATGCTCTTACACAGTACAACACATCATAATAAATTTCAAGACCAAATATAAGATCCTTCCTTGATTCAGAAGCTGAGAAATACGCAAAGAAAATTCCATAATCATAAAAATTCAAATTATTGTCAAAGAGGAGGTGTCTGCTCGTCAGATCTGAAAATTGCTAACACTATACAACTTGCCATAATACAGCTCCAGTCTAAATATCCAATCGGTCAATGATCAAAAGCTGAATAATATCCATCAAAAATTAGGGACAGATGAGAAAAATTCAGTATTCCATCCACTCCATGGGTGGGGCTGTGTTGTCCCTAGAGGGTTAATGCATAGTTGGGCCACTTTGCAATTATTTAGGCCCAACCTTTTAAATTTGAAATTCCCTATTAACCAAATATAAGCCCCAATTCTTCAAAATTCATGACCACTATCCTTTCAGTCAATCCCCCATCCATCAAAAAATTTCTAGGGAAAACACCGTCGGGTTTTGAAATGTATTCATCTGTTAATGTTTGACGTGGTAAATATGTTTCCTGTTTATTTATCCTTAGTCATCTCCCTAGTTATCAGTCACTGTCTGATTAACCTGCTAACACTACATGGTGAATTTAGAAAATTTTCCCAAATACAATTATGTGTAAAACTATCATACTAAATTAATTATAAATCATTAAACAATCAAATGATCTGAAAATGCAATCTTAGATATGATTATTAATTAAAATTGAAAAAAACACACATACATGTATATCTATGATTATTAAAAAATCTTAATCAAAAGAGACTGAAAGGAACAAAATTTTGTAAGTCTCCCCTGATGTTGCTCCTGTCAGTGTAAAATCGTAAGACTAAGACCAATAAAATACTGAAAAGTTCAGAAAAATCTAAATTTTACTTCAGGTATTTCTTGATCATGAAGAAGCTTCTGTCCAAGTTTCATAAAATTCTTTGAATATTTGACAAAGTTATTGATGTCTAAAACACTTAAACCCCAGACTGTATCTAAATGTTAACTGCAAAGTCTATCTATCAGTAAAATATAGAAAAACAAAGACAATAACCAAACATTTTGCTGTGGATTATATTTTTTGATTTAGCTTCTGTCCAAGTGTAGGAATATTCCATTAAGGTTTGATAAGTTATTGATGTCTGGAAACCTTTAACCACAGTGTAACCTATATATTGACAACCACTGGTCAATCACATAATGTAGGATTGCCCTGTCTCGATTCTGTAACTTTCATTATCAAAATATATTGAAACTTTGAATTTTTTTTCACGGAAAATATAAATACACAGCATTCAAAGCGATATAATCTATACATTTCCAATACAATAAAAATTATTCCAGAATGTGTTGGGAGTTATACTGGAATAGACTGGTGATTTCCTATGAAATTTCCCAAAAAAGGTCAGAAGAAAATTCTCCCAAGTCCTACAATGGTTTTGAAACTTAAATATTACAAAAATTGATGATAATTCTGATGTCTATGAACTAATAATATCAGTGCAACAATAATTTTTATATAATTTTTGCAAAAAACAAAAATATAACAGTCAACACAAAACACAAAGTATCAACAACAACACAAAACACAACATTTCAACTACAATAACAAAAATCCCACCATACAATGAAAAAACTAACATCTGAATGGATGGATTTCTACATGATATCTATGGCACTAAGAATATGGATACTTGATTAATTGTTTCTATCAGTCATAAAACTACAGCTATAATAAACATATAGCATAAACAGATTACAAATATCAACAAACTCCTGAACATATGTTCATCCAAAATGTACAATGGAGGCACACATTGCAACAAAGACGGCTGTGTCATACAAATGGTCAATGATGAAAACTATGACTGATCTACAGGAAAACAAACAGTGTGGGATGTCACTAACGGTTACCAGAACTCCAAGTCCAACACCGATTCTGATGGCAGCTTCTACACCAGATATTCCAAGATAAGACCTGTAATATAATAGAAATTTATGTTAATTTAAGCTTTAATTTGTCTAAATTAACATCTGTGTGACCAGATTTAGAATGCCTATTTTTTTGCAGTTAAAATACTTTGATGGACCCATTTTAAAATCAGCTGACCCAATTACTGCATAACACAACCATATGAAACAGCATTAGAGTACCCTATGAGATCAGAGTCGTAATAAACGCATACCAGGAATAAATAAACCAAACAAGAAGTTTCACAAATTGTCCTGCCAAGGGTACCAAACTTGTCATTTAAAGTACAATGTACCAAAAAACAGGAATTAGGTGTATGAAAATCACTAACATGATACAGCTAATCATCGTTGAGCTGCAGACTAATTATGAAGTCAATCTGTTTAGAAGTACTGGAAAAATGTTTGATGAAAATTCTAAATTCATTCAACATATTGAAAAATTCAAAGTATCAGCAAACAGATTGGAGCCACATCAAGTCGTCGACATCTGTTGTCTGTGTAACTTGAAATCAGGCCCTGAAATTAAGACACAAAACAACACACAAACAAACTGTTCCTTCACATTAGTTTTATAACAGAGTCCATACAAGTGTTAGGCAATTTTCTTGCAAGTCAAAAGTCAATTTAAATTTATCAAGAGCTATTTTAAAAATGTCAGGTGTTGAGATAAAATGCAAATCTAAAATACAAAATGTACATGTAAAGTCTGACCTCATTCTAATGAAATATCAGATTTTCATAACATTTTTATGCCCCACCGTAGCAGAGGGGGCATTAAGTTTTACCCTTGTCCGTCTGTACGTACGTCCCGAAATTGATTTCCGTTTTGTAACTTTAGTTTGCCTCAACCAAATATTATGAAACTTATACACAAAGCTTATTGCCACAAAGCACAGATCAAGTTTGAATTTGGGTGATGTCACTTTTACCTTTCTAGAGTTATGTCCCTTTACAAATGGAAAAGTTGCTGAAATTTTCATTTCCGTTCTCTAACTTTAGTTTGCCTCAACCAAATATTATGAAACTTATACACAATGCTTATTACTACAAAAAACAGATCAAGTTTGAATTTTGGTGGTTTCACTTTTACCGTTCTAGAGTTATGCCCCTTTACAAATGGAAAAATTGCTGAATTTTTTGTTTCCGTTCTCTTACTTAAGTTTGCCTCAACTAAATGTTATGAAACACAATGCTTATTACCACAAAACTCAGATCAAGTACGAATTTGGGTAGTGTCACTTTTACCGTTCTTGAGTTATGTCCCTATATAACGTTATATGCAAGCGGGGGCATCATCTGTGTCCCATGGACACATTCCCCATTTATTTTTTAATGTTAAAGATCATTTAATAGACAACTTTCGAGTTTGTTGCATTTCCGTCAAAAACCTTGGTTTTAGTCAGTGAACATCGTTTGTGCGTTTAGGGGTGTCTTCACTTCCGTTCCTATGTTGAGCGATTGGTTGAAAAAATGATAATGCTATATTGCACGAATTATTCAGCAATTTAAAGTCATATGATTGATAATCAGCACTGCTGTCATTAGGGAATTGTGATTAAGTACTTACAAAACAAATATTATTTCTAGTTTATCCTGCATAATGATAATCACAAAGACGCTTGATGAACTTTAATAGAGCAGGGATACAGGCGATCCCCTCTATCTGGTAAATGATGTCACAAAGGCGCACAAAATTGACGAACTTTTCCAGTGAAGGACATAACTCGAAAGTGGTCTATTATTCTGTTCCAAGTTTTGTCTGCTGCTATTTTTACAAGTACGGTTTTGATTTCTTTCAATCTAATCATTATCTTTTTAAAATTGTTAAAATATAGTCTTACAGTAGTATGTAATGGAGAACCAAAGCAAGACAAGCCTGTCCAACAACACAAACACCAATTGCAACTGGAAAATTGCCTTCTCTGCTAATCTGTTCTGAAGACTTCCCAGGATAGTTGTTGCTCATCCATGGTTTGCCAAGGAAGTAGGTGGAATACCATATGGCTCCAATGATCTGACTTGCTACCACACTTATGATTACACCCAACATAATGGAAGCTACAACGATATACATGTACAATATATCATCACTTTTACCTTTAACTGTGTCCATTAAAGTAGTTTTCAGTTATTATAAGCATTCTTTAATTGTTATTATATAATATCGTTTTTTATTATTTATTTGTGTTTTGGTATTCTGCAATACTGATATAATAATTAATATAGAAAAAACTAAGATTATAATTTTTAATAAAACAGGGCGCTTAATGAAGGGCCATGTTAGTAAAAACGATGAGCCAATTGAATTTGTTTCATACATGTATTATAAATATTTAGGAATTACTATTTCAGCCTCAGAAAAATTCATAGAGGCAAACAAAATCTTTATAATAAAGCACTTAAAGCCAGTCACAAGTTAAGAAAAGATTTGACATGTTTAAACCCATCTGTTAACACACTACTACATTTGTTTGAACACACCATTAAGCCAATAACCCTTTTTTTGGCAGTGATATTTGGTGAATACTCAATCTTACTGAAAAGAAAAAAGATCAGGAAATATATGACCTTTATAAGGATTGGGATTGTGAACATCTTCTTATAAAGTTCTGTTAATATGATCTTGGTGTCAACAAAAAAAACAACTAATCTAGCTGTGGTAGCCGAGTTGGAGCAGTTTCCAATTTATATACCACTTGTAACATCTATGTATTGGCATATGTAGTGGAATTAAAACCAAGCAGTTTGATTGAGTCAGCATATGCAGAATATAAACTTTTACATGATAGAAATATATTATCATGGTATACTACTGTACAAGTGCTTGCAGATAAACTAAAGATAAATTTGGCAGTTGTTAAAAACTGGGGCATGGAAAAGTACAGAATACCAGTATATATTAAAATAAACAGCTGCGCCATGAGCGCATGATAGGCCCGTCGCTTTTTCAATAGATATAAACCAGTCACCAAAGTTTCATGAAACTGCTCAAGGCATTTTTGAGTAATTGTCCGAAAACTGGAAAATCCCCCTTTTTTAATGAATACAACCCCGTAACTCGGAAGCGTAAAATCTCAAATTCGAATTTAGAATTCGAAAGGGAGCTCACATCAATAGACATAAACAATTCACCAAAGTTTCATGAAAACTGCTCAAGGCATTTTTGAGTTATTGTCCGAAAACTGGAAAATCCCCCTTTTTTAATAAATAAAACCCCATAACTCGTAAACGTAAAATCTAAAATTTATAAAAATCTAAAGGGAGCTCACATCAACAGATATAAACAATTCACCAAAGTTTTAATGAAAACTGTTCAAAGCATTTTTGAGTTATTGTCCGAAAACTGGAAAATCCCCCTTTTTTAATGAATTAAACACCATAACTCGGAAACGTAAAATCCAAAATATATAAAATTGAAAGGGAGCTCACGTCAATAGATATAAACAATTCACTAAAGTTTCATGCAAATTGGTTAAAGCGTTTTTGAGTTATTGTCCGACATGTTGACGACGGACGGACAGACGGAAAACGGTATACCATAATAAGTCCAGTAAACGGGTGTATAAAAATGCCTGAGAAAATTTTTTCTAAAATTTTGGGAACACCAAAAAGAGTCGGGCTTGGACTCTGGTAAACTTACCACATTTTATAGATTAAAATCTAGCTTCCGACGAGAAGCCTATTTAATTATCTTGGATTTTAAACCCCAAATATAGATTAAGTGCCCACCAACTTCGTACAGAAACTGTGCGATACAAAAAAAGAAAATAAATGAACAATTAGTGCCGCTGAAAAGAGATCGATTATGCACTCTTTGTACATTATCAGAAGTTGAGAATGAACATTTTATGCTGGAATGTCCACTCTATGCCAATGAACGTCAACAAATGACAAATAAAATTGTTCAATTATGTCAAAACTATTTATTGTTAAACCAATTGGCAAACATTTTATTGGCTTTTCAATAATGAAGACAAAACCATTTTATGTATACTTGCAAATTTCATGCAAACTAATTATGAAATAAGAAACAAGGACATTCTTTAAATATGTTTACATATCATTTCTGTAAACATTTTGTATTATGACATCATACAAAAGATTTAAAGTGTACTTAAATCTTTTAATATAACTACTAAAATAACATCATATATATGTGAGAACATAGTTTATATTATTGCTATCTCTATTTGGATCATTCTATTCTCATAACATGTATGTATCTGTGTGCCCACAAGTGCTCCGAATTGGAAATAAAATACATGTACCACGGGTGTGTACTCAAAGCGTTTGAAGAACGTAATGTTAGAACTAAGAAATAATTCATGGGGCTTGAATATATCTTGATTTTACCACGGGTTGGCCCTTTATGACAAATATTTTACCCTGAGTGATGGTAAAATCACGATATATTCAAGCCCACATGAATTATTTAGATTCTAATAGGACAAATATGGCAATTCTTTTGGATCGAAGCGCTCTAGGTGAAGGCATAATTTGCCGTTCCCAAAAATATTTAATTTAAAATAAACGCACTATTAAATTGACGTAAAAGAACGGAGCAAACTGAATAAATGGCATGCTTCTAAACTATTTACAATGACATATTTAGATAGGTTTGGATGAATCTAAATGATAATTGTATTTATATGTCTTATATGTAAACAAAAAATGGCTTATATAAAACATTTTAGCATCGTTTGTTTGTTTCCTTGTTGTGATGATTTTCGGTTTCACTCGTAAGCGTGTATTTTCCCGTAAAATGCTTATATTCTTACGTCATCGTTCTATGACGTCGGGTAGCTCATTCGTGGAAAAGCATATGACGCGGGAGTACGATCGGAACAGCCCAAACAATATATTTATATTTTACCACGGGTGTGTACTCAAAGCGTTTGAAGAACGTCATGTTAGAATGATTTATATACTAACAGAACAAAAAAATAACAAACTTGTGTGCTCATAAACTCAATAAACTCTTTTCAGATGACGAGCCTTACCGTCTTCAACAAGAAAATAAATCTAATAGACAGGTCAATAATAGTTTCAGCAATTTTTCTGTTGTTGTTTACGTTTAGTAAACTGCACGTGGATAATTCCCGCCAAAATTTTACGCAAAACGAATAAAAATCAATAACTTTTTAACCTAATCATTTTTATTACTTAAAGGCTTTGACCGCAAATTTATGAAATACTACACAGTAAGTAGCCGTTTTATCTATTATGTAACATGCTGTATTGAAACATCATTAGATATTATATTTTTTAAATAGTAAAAATTAAATCTTTTTGTCAATAATTCCGTAATATTGAATAATAATATATAGAAATGGAAGCTGGACAGGGACATATTCGCGGTGCGACAGAGTTAATAAACATTCGCGAATTCATTCAGAAATGGGACAAAACGGTAATACCTGGTATGTCTGAGACGGATAAGAAGTATACTCCCATGAGAGATGTTCTAGCTCAAGAACTGGAGGTAGAAAGACAAACTATAGCCGAATTAGAGGGTGTTTGCAAGTAAGCGAAGGGAGAAAACTCTGTCTGAACAATGACTTTGTAAACATGATATTGATGAATTCATGATAATTGATATGTTTTTTTGTTTTCTTTATTAAGACTCACGAAATCTTATTCGTTTATTTTATTTCATAATAGTTTCAGAAAAGACGTATTTACACTTGTATGCAAATTTGTCCGCCATTACGTAAAATCACACAGGTTCCCGTAAACTTTGACATCATAATTCAAAACCTTTGACGTCACAATTAAAAAGTGATTGTTGCCTGACGTCAAAAGGTGATTCGGAGTAGATCTAAGGTCATTCGGAGGCAAAATATAGCTAAATACCAAAAGTGTAAATACGTTTATTGCAATACACGGACTTCTTCTACAAGCGAAATTATAAATTATCACCAAGCGACTCATTGCATAAAAAAAAGTATACGAGAAAAAATAAAAATACCCGGAAGTCCTGAACATTTCAGAATTACTTACGATAATTTTTTTAATGGATCGTAGTATTATTTACATGGATATATACCTTTTCATGTAAATAAGATAAATGCCTGTGACAATTTTCAGTAGAACAAAAACGGGAAGAAAGATATACAAATATAATAATTGTTTATAAGTATTGAAACCATACAGATAACCATGAACATATTTTTCACATAAGTTTCGATGAATAATAAAGAGGATCAATTGTACCTGACGTTTCTGTCTTTTTTCCAAGACCGACCTAGGCTTTTTAGGAGAAGATGGTCCTTTTTCTGCATCCACAACTACAGGAATGTCGGGTATGGCGTCATCTTTCAGTGCTGCCTTTGCACCCGGATATCCCAATTTTAAAAGTCTTTCTGGGTGTCTGCTATACTGATGAAGGGTAAAATGCTTAGAACAAATTCTGCTATGTTTAGACGGTGTAAAGTCCTGTCGTTTACAATAGTGGTCTCAAGCACGATTTCTCTGAGAATTTTTCGGAAAAGTAAACCAATATATATTTTAGTCACATTGAGAATTGCTATTGCAACCATAATTAAACCACACAATACGGCATATTTATACTAATATTTACGAAATAAAAAATAATTACTTCTTACTTTTGAATAATACTACTGCATAAAGATTTGCTTTTACATAAAACTAAAACATGTATGTAATATGAGATATGAATGAAACCCTATACTAGTGGCATTTCTGTATTATCTATATAGTATTACCACTGAGATTATACAGCTGGTAACACAAGTGATGTCATAGCCGTGAGCCTCATTATCATGTCTAAAAATATGCATACAAGGGCGATCAAGGCCATCTGTGTTTACACTAATGATTATCACATTCCCTGATAAGAAATACACACAACAACATGAAGATATTGATTTTATTAACTATGAAGGTTTTATTTTACACATGATTGTTTGAAGTGGCTGTTGTCCTTTAAAGGGGCATTAGCTGTCAAATTCATGTTCACCGACAATTTTTTTTTCATTTTCACTGAACTAGTACACATTTTTTCTAGGGGCCAGCTGAAGCCCGCCTCCGGGTGTGGGATTTTCTCACTGTGTTGAAGACCCATTGGTGGCCTTCTGCTGTTTTCTGCTCTTCGGTCGGGTTGTTGTCTCTTTGACACATTCCCCATTTCCATTCTCAATTTTAATTAACAATGCATAGACTCGATAACATATATCAGCATTTCGTGTGTATTTTAGTCTAGACGCCATCTAATTAACCATTGAGATGACCTCCGAAGACTGCCGATGGTCACATAACCTGATGTAAACATAAACATAAATATAAATAAATAGTAACCTCATGCAGTTGGACTTTTCCAGGTCAGTGTTTGATTTAATGTAATAGATATATATGTATAACAATGATTTTTGGTGGATAGTATCAGTCAACGTAATGGTTCAACTTTGTTGACATTCTTTTCCTTTTAATAGCTGAACACAACTAATAAATAATGCGTACATGAAACCAATCTATAGCTAATGGGTTAAATTGAAGGTCACATGAATACGGATTCTATGAGGCCGAATTATTCACTTGCAAGTGAATAATTCATCAGCAATGTTTCTTAGCTTATTTTGACAAAATTGAACTAAACTGGCTGCTAAAAGTGAATTATTATTTCACTATTTCACTTTCATTAGTGATTGAACCAAAAAGAAATCATATTTCATTTTTCTTATATCTCGTAGCTAATGACCCTTTAAGATTGAAAAATAACATTTCTTTTAATGGAAGATATGTTGGATATACTCCTAATAAGCAAAAACACAAAAAAAACCATGACATTCAGAATTCCTTTTTATACGACCGCAAAAAAAATTTACGATCGTATATTGATATGACGTTGGCGTCGTCATCGTCCGAAGACACGTTGGCTTCGCACTCTAACTTTAGTTTAAGTGAATGGATCTCTATGAAATTTTACCATAAGGTTCAATGTCACAAAAGGAAGGTTGGGATTTATTTTGGGGGTTATGGTACCAATAGTTAAGGAATTAGGGGCCAAAAATAAGCATTTTTGTAACTTCCAGACATGACTTGTGTGTTAGTGTATGGATCTCTCTGACATTGTACCACAAGGTTCCATATCACAAAGGGAATGCTGGGATTGATTTTGGGGGTAATTGCCTCAAAATTTTAGGAATTAGGGGCAAAAAAAGGGGCAAAAAACAAGCATTTTTATATGGACAAATACTTTAGTACAAAACATAATTTAAAGCAGTGTAAGGGAGATAAATCAAATACATCATTTGAATTACCTCCCTTACACTGCTTTTAAATTATGTATAAAGTAATGGTTAATGAACAATTAAGACAATTTAAAACAGTATAAGGGAGGTAATCCACATACAACGTTTTGATTACTTCCCTTACACTGCTTTTAAATTATGTTTATAGAAATGCATATTTATAAAGGAAGACCAGTAAAAATATCTGCAAATGTTGCAAAAATATCCATATGAAAGATTTGACACCATATTTTAAATTCTATTAAAAAATAGATTAAGTTAGCACTATGGTAAATATAAATGGGTAATTATGGTTGCAAATTCCATTGGAAATTTGAATTGAGATTATGACCATATCTTGAGGGAAAGAATATTTTGGGGGAAAAGGGGGGGGGGGGGTTGTGTTAAAAGAAATTGTGGGGGGTCAATTTTTTCTCATTTCAGATTTCAGAAATTAAAAAGAATTATTCTTCAAATATTATTTTTTTTCAAATTTCAAATATTGAAAAATTTCAAGAAGTAATCTTTAATTGCACAGTATGGCGCATTAGATTTGTAAAATCTTTGACCACATTTATTAGTTTGTTATGCCAAATCTGACCGTGTATTTAGATTTTTAATTTTGGGTCCAGTTTTCAAATTGGTCTACATTAAGGTCCAAAGGGTTCAAAATTAAACTTAATTTGATTTTAACAAAAATTGAATATATGGGGTTCTTTGATATGCTGAATCTAAACATGTATTTAGATTTTTGATTTCGGGCCCAGTTTTCAAGTTGGTCCAAATTGGGGTCCAAAATTAAACTTTGTTTGATTTCAACAAAAATTGAATATATGGGGTTCTTTGATATGCTGAATCTAACCATGTATTTAGATTTTTTATTTGTGGGCCCCGCTATCAAATTGGTTCATATTGAGGTCAAAAGGGTCCAAAATTAAACTGTTTTATTTCATTAAAAATTGAATTATTGGGGTTCTTTGATATGCCAAATCTAACCGTGTATTTAGATTTTTAATTTTGGGTCCAGTTTTCAAATTGGTCTACATTAAGGTCCAAAGGGTCCAAAATTAAACTTAGTTTGATTTTAACAAAAATTGAATATATGGGGTTCTTTGATATGCTGAATCTAAACATGTATTTAGATTTTTGATTTTGGGCCCAGTTTTCAAGTTGGTCCAAATTAGGGTCCAAAATTAAACTTTGTTTGATTTCAACAAAAATTGAATATATGGGGTTCTTTGATATGCTGAATCTAACCATGTATTTAGATTTTTTATTTGTGGGCCCTGCTATCAAATTGTTTCATATTGAGGTCAAAAGGGTCCAAAATTAAACTTTGTTTTATTTCATCAAAAATTGAATTATTGGGGTTCTTTGATATGCCAAATCTAACCGTGTATTTAGATTTTTAATTTTGGGTCCAGTTTTCAAATTGGTCTACATTAAGGTCCAAAGGGTCCAAAATTAAACTTGGTTTGATTTTAACAAAAATTGAATATATGGGGTTCTTTGATATGCTGAATAACAACATGTATTTAGATTTTTGATTTTGGGCCCAGTTTTCAAGTTGGTCCAAGTTGGGGTCCAAAATTAAACTTTGTTTGATTTCAACAAAAAATGAATATATGGGGTTCTTTAATATGCTGAATCTAACCATGTATTTTGATTTTTGGGCCCCCTTATCAAATTGGTCCACATTGAGGTCAGAAGGGTCCAAAATTAAACTTTGGTTGATTTCATCAAAAATTGAATTCTTTGGATTCTTTGATATGCTGAATCTAACCATGTATTTAGATTTTGGATATTGGACCATAATAGATAAATTAAAAAAATTTAAGTTCTTAGACCACATTCATTGTGTCAGAAATCTATGCTGTGTCAAATATTTAATCACAATCCAAATTCAGAGCTGTATCAAGCTTGAATGTTGTGTCCATACTTGCCCCAAATGTTCAGGGTTCGACCTCTGCGGTCGTATCAAGCTGCGCCCAGCGGAGCATTTTATTCTAGTTTCAGTTTTGAGATTCTTAGTTTTTAGAAATATTCTGAATTCGCCACTAACAGTTGACCAAATCATAAAAATTCACAGCCAACTCAAAATTCTCAAACGGATTAGACATTCAGATGCTGAGAAACATGCCATAAAGTCTTCAACATTGGTTAGACAAGTGTCTAGACATCGTTCGAATTTGTTGATTATTTGATTGATTGTTGGTTGCTAAACGTCCAGTGGTTCAAATTTGTGCACTTTCCCATAAATTTTCTATGTCACAATGCTTACAAAATGTATGGTAGTACGTCAAAGTTTCTTTAAAAGTACCGATATTTCGATGATGTCGGTTACACTTGATTGACCTCAGCTGGTCAACTGATGTAACTCATTCTTTAAGAATCATGTTAAAAACAACTTGAGTTTGATGTATACAAATTATATGTTTGTCAACCTCGAAATCATTTAGTCTTCCTGTAGAAAAACTGAATAAATCAAAGAATACAAAAAATCTGCCTAAATTCCAAATAGCTTAAACCCCAAAAATTCATTAACGTTCACAGTTCATATAAAAATAAGAAGATGTGGTATAATTGCCAAGTAGACAACTCTCCACCAGAGACCAAATGACATAGAAGTTAACAACTACATGTATAGGTCACCATAAAGCTTTCAACAATGAGTTAAAGACACATACAGCATAGTCAGCTATAAAAGGCCCTTAAATGACAAATGTAAAACAATTCAAACGAGAAATCTAACAGCCTGATTTATGTACAAGACAATGAACGAAAAACAAATATGATATACAGCAACAAAAAAGACACAAGTACAGATCTGAGAGAACTTGCAGTTACTGTCAGCTAGTTCAAAGCCAATAACAACATGAACTGGGTACATATGTGTTTACAATTCATTTCAGGTATGCAGTTATAGTAGCCTTTTCCTCAATTCCTCTGCTCTTATCGTAAACTTGGATATATTTGATGGCTCATTTCGAAGCTGAGACATTTTCACATATGTGGTTAAATTTTCAGGGTACAAAATGTGATTCGTTTTTCCATAATTTAGCACACCCTGAAAAGCCTTTTGTGATGCGGCTTCTCGAGGTAAAAAATCCCTTTTTTCACACAATAAATTCTTTGAAAATTTAGTTTTTTGAATACATTATAATAACTCCATAATTTTTTCTAGTGAATTTATTCTGTGGTCCTCTAGCTGCTCTCCAACTCAGCACAAATGGTTAAGCTCAGTCACTTGATAAAAATTGAAACATGTCCAATATCACTACACACAGATTTTTATTTATGCACTATTTTTGTGTTCCTCAATTTAAGGTGCATTAGGGATATTGACCCAACTAATAAAAAATCAGGCATCTAAGACTATATACATATATCAATCAGTATGCTTCCAACATCCAATGGATTTAGTGTTAAGACGTCCTTAACAGTCAGAGAAAAAAACATGATCTTGTACAATGCCAAGATACAGGTATAGAAAGATTGTAGAGCCATGAATGTGCGTATGTATATAACAATAATTTAAGTTTGATTTTAATTTAATGATAACAAAATCAATATGTATACCAAAAAAAACCATATTCATAGATCTAATAACAGTGTTGAATTGGTAACCTTCTAGAAGAAGTTTATTTAAAGGATCCATAAGTTTACCCGGATCATTAAATTTCCAGGCTCGGTATACAACATCTTAGAAATTAGGATGTGCTATCCTGCTTGAAATAAGTTTTCTACAGGTACAGCCAAACTTCCAAACCAAATCTTTGTATCTATGAAAGAATTTAGTAAAGGTTTTAAGTTATTTATGGTAACAAAATCCCTGACTTAATAATACATAGATTACGTTCATCATGTTCATTGAAATCCAAAAAGTCACTACAGACACAGGCATAGTGAACGAGTTGTGTCCGAGTAACCGGTTAGACTAAACTGTTCAATTTGACAACACTAATTAGGTAACTCTTGTTTGTGTCAAACTTTCAGGAAAACTGTTATAACCATACTGCTTCTCATTTTATTTTTCAGTGCAAATAATTTACTGTGTGGAGAAGAAAAGACAGATATATCAATGTTATCATGTATTCCAGATTCTGTAGACTTGGTTTCAGTCAGGTAAGCTAAATTATGTCACCAAGGTAATGCACCAAAAATAGGTTGTTTACAATGAACATTGTAGGTTCTTTCAAATATTCAAATAAAGAGTTTAACATTAGAATATTTCACAGCTATTATCATGCATCTTCATCATTCAACAACTGGTTGTTTTATAATCTTTATGATATGAGCTTTTTATTTCTGGACACATAGTATAGTGTCAAAGAAGCCTAAAAATAATCTTGTCTAGAGATCCGTTTTAAATTCAAGGTAATATATACAAATAAGGCAATGTGATATGATTGCCAATGAGACAACTATCCCCCTGAGTTCAATTGAAGTGGATGTAAGCAATTATAGACACGTACGGCCTTCAACAATGAGTAAAACCTTATAGTCGACTATAAAAGGCCTTGACTTCCATTGAGGGTGACTGTTGTCAAAACTACAATATCACTTGCAAAAACAGAGAAACTTTTAACATATTAAACCAAGGAGCTAATGAGATTCCTGATTGTGTAAATTTGTGTGCATGCACTTTTTAAGGAAAATTGATGCACTCAACCAGATTTTATGGTGTCAAATCTTCCTTTAGTAAAACAATCTTTAGTGTGACTATACATTTTAGATATTAAGAATAACAATATATTGAATAATTTATTATTAATAATATATATTACACAGGATGCAGAAAAGAGAATTGGAGAGAAGAGAAGCAGACAAAATATATAAATCAACGGTTTTAAGAAGATTAAAATACTCCAGCCTGGATGAGAAAAATGTATACAATTAGAAGTTAATATTTTCTAATCTGTTACAGAATTCAGTGTTTTCCACCAAAAATTTTTAAAATAAGAGGGGGGAGGGGGGATTATTGGTGAAAGGACATCTCAAAACTTCAGATGCACTTACCGATATAAGTATCCTAGTGATATCTTTTTATTGACTGTCTCACTAGCAATAATCAGTCTTTTACAAACTGAGGGAAACTATCTATCTGTTCTGTCATCTATATGTTTTATCTACAAAGTGAAAATAAGTAGAAGTTTACATTTTAAAAGAATTTAAATGAAAATCACAAACTATAACCATGTACATGTTTACCAAATAAAATATTTCACTTAATGAGGTCAAGTTACACAGTAAATCAAGCATCCACAGATTTTTATTGAATTTTGCATACAGCTGCTTTAGGTTAATCAGAGACATATATACACAGAGATTGGCAACTCTGTGAAATCACGTTAAATCGCGCGGCCCGGAATGAGAATCTCACCAATGAATTACTCTACAAATCGGGGACGAATGACCCTTGATAGCTAACCAAAAAACAATTGGAAAATTTACCTCAGGTCAAATAATTTCTTTTCTAAAAAGCCACTTGAAAATCGTTGCATTTATTATTTTTATGTATTTATTGAGAAAAATATTTTCTGCTTTTCAACATTTCTAATTATTTTAAAATTAATATCTGGTTAAAATTATGATATTGATAATGCAAGAAACATTATTTACTTCATTTCTTTGCTAAAGTGTGCTCCTTAATTCTCCAGTAATTAATTCCTTAGAGTTGTGATTGTGGATTCACAGGTGTGCGATTAAGTAATTTATTGCCCTCCTATCACCTGACATTTGCCGGAGGTGAAGTTCTAAAGGGATTATCGCTTGGTAATTTTTTTACAACTAAACAAATGCTGACATATTATTTAAACTCTGACCAGAATTTCATTTAAACAGAGCACTGGGCAAACAAAAATAGTCAATTAACATGTTAAGAAAAGAAATAATACAACTTTTCATAGATAAAAAATATTGCCAGTGGAATTTTGTCAAATTTCGGATTTTGTCTAGTGGGAAACTGATTACCATGACTTTCAACTTTAATATTTGCTTGGTGTTTCAAAAGACAGTGAGACTTTTTGCACCGTTAAAGTCTAGTACATTTTTGTCAAGCCTGTGATTTCTGTCACAGAAAGCTCGACATAGGGATAGTGATCCGGCGGTGTTAACTAATTTCTCAAAAGCTTAATATTTCAGAAGGTAGAAGACCTGGATGCTTCATACTTTGTATATAGATGCCTTATGATATTAAGTTTCCGTCTGTCATATGTCCATTGTCCTTGACCTCATTTTCATGGTTCAGTGACTACTTGAAAAAAAGTTAGAGATTTTTTGTATTGTTAATTTCTCTCTTATTATGAGTAATAGGATAACTATATTTGGTATGTGCGTACCTTGCAAGGTCCTCATATCTGTCAGACAGTTTCACTTGACCTCTACCTCATTTCATGGATCAGTGAACAAGGTTATGTTTTCGTGGTCAAGTCCATATCTCAGATACTATAAGCAATAGGTCTTCTATATTTGGTGTATGTAATGATTGTAAGGTGTACATGTCAGTCTGGCAGGTTTTATTTGACCTTGACCTCATTTTCACAGTTCATTGCTCAATGTTAAGTTTTTGTGTTTTGGTCTGTTTTTCTAATACTGTATGCAATAGGTCAACTATATTTGGTGTATGGAAATATTTTACCATGTACATGTCAGTCTGGCAGGTTTTAGTTGACCTTGACCTCAATTTCTCGGTTCATTGCCTAATGTTAAGTTTTTTACCGGATTTTCGAAGTAAAAATCAGTTATTTATTTGGGGATGTATGGAGGGCGGGTGGCTGCCAAACAGTGTCCGTTCATATACACGAAAACACTTTGAAGATTTTTTTTCAAATTTAGATATGTCGTTTCCTGTGGCTAAACGAAGGTCAAGTTCAATTTTCACCATTTTAGCTTTTCTCGTTGTTCAGTTACAGCCCTTTCCAAAGAATTTGATTTTTGATGAGATGATCCATTTCTGTACAAAGGGAAATAACTCTTTTTTTAAAAGATTTTTAAAAGACATTGTATTTATGATTAATGACATTTTGGATTTTTTTTTCTTTTCTCTGATAAATTGTTTGAAGAATTTTGTGGTAGGTTTGTTTGTTATTTTGTATAAACTAATTTTCTGAATACTATATATATAACTTTTTTTAGATGAAGTGAACTCCTTTGATTAGATAATTATCTATTTTTATTAAAGGATATATTTCACTACATTACATTGTGTAGAAAAAATTGTTGACTTTGATAGATAAGCTGCAGATCTATATTAGTTTGTGACAAATGAAAGAAAAATATTTTGAACTATTGATTATAATTTGAAAATAGATATACATTGTGTTACATCATATCTAATTTTAGAGAACTATATTAAATCATATCTAATGTTAGAGTACTATGTTAAACCATATTTCTGTTCAAAGGGAAATAACCCAAACTTATTCCATGAACCAGTAATGATCAAAATTTCTTTATAACTATTTTTTTTTAAGTCATGTGTGTTCTGAATGTAGATGTCTCAGTTGTTATGTGGTACTTTATTTTGTTGTGTGTGTTAATGTTTAATTTTTACATGATCCTGTTTGGGGTTCAGATTTGCAAATATTATTTTCATTATTAATTAGATGATAATCTATTTTCAATATTCAATCACAATCCAAGTTCAGAGCTGTTTTAAGCTTAAATGTTGTGTCCATACTGGCTCAACTGTTTAGGGTTCTACCTCTGCAGGAAAATCCGGTTTGCTGTCACTCGACAGCCTCTTGTTGTGTTTTGATCTGTTTTTATACGACCGCAAAAATTGAAAATTTTTTGGTCGTATATTGGTATGACGTTGGCGTCGTCGTCGTCGTCGTCGTCCGAAGACACATTGGTTTTCGCACTCTTACTTTAGTTTAAGTGAATGGATCTCCATGAAATTTTACCATAAGGTTCAATACCATGAAAAGAAGGTTGGGATTGATTTTGGGGGTTATGGTACCAACAGTTAAGGAATTAGGGGCCAAAAAGGGGCCAACAATAAGCATTTTTGTAACTTCCAGACAATAACTTGTGTGTAAGTGTATGGATCTCTCTGACATTGTACCACAAGGTTCCATATCACAAAGGGAAGGCTGTAATTGATTTTGGGGGTAATTGCCTCAAAATGTTAGGAATTAGGGGCCAAAAAAGGGGCAAAAAACAAGCATTTTTCTAGTTTCATGACAATAACTTGTGTGTAAGTGTTTGGATATTTCTGAAATTGTACTACAAGGTTCCATATCACAAAAGGAAAGCTGGAATTGAGTTTGGGGGTAATTGCCCGAAACGTTTAGGAATTGGGGGGCCAAAAAGGGGCCAAAAATAAGCATTTTTCTAGTTTCCAGACAATAACTTGTGTTCAAGTGTATGGATCTCTCTGAAATTGTACTGCAAGGTACCATACCACAAAGGGAAGGCTGAGATTGAGTTTGGGGGTGATGAATCATAAGGGGGTTCAAAAAATTTTGGGGGGGGATTTTTTTTTTTCTTTTTTTTTTCTTTTTTTCCTTTTTTTTTTCTTTTAAAATTTTCCATTTTAAGTTGGTTATTTCTGATTTATATTTAAAAGTAAATAATAATGATATGGTAGGAGATACACACCAAACAGGATGTGTAAATTATTATATAATAAGTATTGTGCAATAGCAAGAAATTTTCAATTGCACAGTATTGCACAATAGCAAGAAATCTTCAATTGCACAGTATTGCGCAATAGCAAGAAATCTTCAATTGCACAGTATTGCGCAATAGCAAGAAATATCCAATAGCACAATATTGCGCAATAGCAAGAAATTGTCAATTGTACAGTATTGCGCAATAGCAAGAAATAATCAATTGCACAGTATTGTGCAAAAGAAGATACTTCGTATAAATTGCTTATTTCTTGATCAATTTCAATGGGGTTTTATTCTTGAATTCTTGGGGTTCTTTAAAATGCTGAATCTAACCGTGTATTAAGTTTTTGGATTTTGGGCCCCGTTTTTAAATTGGTCCACATTGAGGTATAAAGGGTCCAAAATTTAACTTTGTTTGATTTCATCAAAAATTGAATTATTGAGTTTCTTTGATATGCCGAATCTAACCGTGTATTTAGATTCTTAATTTTTGGTTCTGTTTTCAAATTGGTCTACATAAAGGTCCAAAGGGTCCAAAATTAAACTTAGTTTGATTTCAACAAAAATTGAATATATGGGGTTCTTTGATATGCTGAATCTAACCATGTATTTAGATTTTTGATTATGGGCCCAGTTTTCAAGTTGGTCCAAATCGGGGGTCCAAAATTAAACTTTGTTTGATTTCAACAAAAATTGAATATATGGGGTTCTTTGATATGCTGAATCTAACCATGTATTTAGATTTTTGATTATGGGCCAAGTTTTCAAGTTGGTCCAAATCGGGGTCCAAAATTAAACTTTGTTTGATTTCAACAAAAATTGAATATATGGGGTTCTTTGATATGCTGAATCTAACCATGTATTTAGATTTTTGATTGTTGGGCCCCGTTATCAACTTTGTCCACATTGAGATCAAAAGGGTCCAAAATTAAACTTTGTTTGATTTCATCAAAAATTGAATATATGGGGTTCTTTGATATGCTGAATCTAACCATGTATTTAGATTTTTGATTATGGGCCCAGTTTTCAAGTTGGTCCAAATCGGGGTCCAAAATTAAACTTTGTTTGATTTCAACAAAAATTGAATATATGGGGTTCTTTGATATGCTGAATCTAACCATGTATTTAGATTTTTGATTATGGGCCCAGTTTTCAAGTTGGTCCAAATCGGGGTCCAAAATTAAACTTTGTTTGATTTCAACAAAAATTGAATATATGGGGTTCTGTAATATGCTGAATCTAACCGTGTATTAAGTTTTTGGATTTTGGGCCCCGTTTTTAAATTGGTCCACATTGAAGTCCAAAGGGTCCAAAATTTAACTTTGTTTGATTTCATCAAAAATTGAATTATTGGGGTTCTTTGATATGCCGAATCTAACCGTGTATTTAGATTCTTAATTTTTGGTTCCGTTTTCAAATTGGTCTGCATAAAGGTCCAAAGGGTCCAAAATTAAACTTAGTTTGATTTTAACAAAAATTGAATTTTTAGGGTTCTTTGATATGCTGAATCTAAACATGTATTTAGATTTTTGATTATGGGCCCAGTTTTCAAGTTGGTCCAAATCGGGGTCCAAAGTTAAACTTTGTTTGATTTCAACAAAAATTGAATATATGGGGTTCTTTGATATGCTGAATCTAACCATGTATTTAGATTTTTGATTTTTGGGCCCTGTTATCATTTTTGTCCACATTGAGATCAAAAGGGTCCAAAATTAAACTTTGTTTGATTTCATCAAAAATTGAATTCTTGGGGTTCTTTGATATGCTGAATCTAACCATGTATTTAGATTTTGGATATTGGACCATAATAGGTGAATGTCCAATTTAAAATTTTTAAGTTCTTAGACCACATTCATTCTGTGTCAGAAACCTATGCTGTGTCAAATATTTAATCACAATCCAAATTCAGAGCTGTATCAAGCTTAAATGTTGTGTCCATACTTGCCCCAACTGTTCAGGGTTCGACCTCTGCGGTCGTATCAAGCTGCGCCCTGTGGAGCATTTTATTATAATACTGTATGCAATAGGTCAACTATATTTGGTATCTGGAAATATTTTACGATGTACATGTCAGTCTGGCAGGTTTTATTTGACCTTGACCTCATTTTCATGTTTCGTTGCTTAATGTTAAGTTTTTGTGTTTTGGTCTGTTCTCAAACTTTAAGCAATAGGTCAACTTTATTTGGTGTATGGGTGTATATGTCTGTCTGGCAGATATCATCTGACCTTCACCTCATTGTCATGGTTCATTGGTCAATGTTCAGTTTTCCTGGTTAACTTTGTTTCTTAGATACTTTTAGCACTAGGTCAACTATATTTGATGCATGGAATGATTTTAAGGTGTACATGTCTGTCTGGCAGGGTTCATCTGACCTTAACCTTGATGTTTGGTCTGTTTCTTTTATACTATAAGCAATAGATCATCTATATTTGGTGTATGGAATGATTGTATTAAAGGTGTACATGTATTTCTGGCTTGGTTTATCTGACATTGACCTTATTTTCTTGGATCATAAATGTTATTGTAATACTTGTAGTAAAACTTTATATTTAGGACTATCAATATAAAATCAATGGTCAGTATAGTAGGCGAGACATTTCAGCGTGTGCACTTATGTTGCTAAAGAGTTGATTAAAAATATTTTCAAATAGCATGTAAGAACAAGCACTTACATTTTGTTTTCGGTCTAAATAGCCTCAGCATGATACAAACTTAAGAAGTATTTGTTTAGACTTTTATATTATAGATTAATCTGATTAATAATTATCACGGCTCCAATCACAGTAATTTGATTTGGTCTTCAAATCCCATGGAAATAAGGAAAACATTATGACGAAACTGCATTATTGGTTGGGTCTTCTCATATTAAGAACAATGGAAATGGGGCTGAACACTTTATTGCTGTTGTACTGGCGTGTACTTCACATCTTTATTCTATCTAAATTGTTCCATGTAAATATAGCTGTTTTAATTTAATTATAACGTTTAGTTTTTGATTTACCTAGAATTAAAGGATCATTCATGGAACCTTTGCATGAATTTCCCGAATGAACGTACATTATAAGTGTTGTTGAAATCACTTGTTGCTGCCATTAAATATTGAATATGAATCTTTTTTCTTTTTTTTTTTGCATTATTTTTAAGACTTAAAATCACCGGCTCTGTTTAAAAACAATTTGTATCATAAGTATTGTTAAATTCTCTGCTGAACTGTAGACTTTTAATTTTTTGTTTCATAGACTAGCCGAGTACTGCAACATTCTTATCTTTACTCTTTGCTGTCGGGAAGTGAACCTCAAGTTTTGAATTAGACAAATTTGTGAAATTGTTCATCAGTTCTATATGATCTTTTACGGGTCCGTGTTGCTCAATGTTAACAAGGTAATTTTCGGTGTAGTGCTATGTGGGCTGTTATGTTCTTTTCTTTTGTTATTTTTTTCCACTGTGTAACATGACCTTGTCATTTTTGTAGTGCCCCTTGACATCTTCTGCCTCTGTTTGCTTATTATTTTAAGCTACTTTGCACTGGCGTGTACTTCACATTTTTAAATAAACCTTAACCACTAATATCTCTTGTGGTTTGTTTTAATAGGATAGTGTTTCATTCCCTGAATTTGTTATACAGGAATTTATTTTGATATCAGTTTTTTATATGCAGATATACTGCTTGGGCTCTTCACACGCCTAATTTTTAGGACGGAATGCGTCAATAGGTACATACATGTATCAAGTCACTGACACTGATATATAAATATTCATTATGTGCTATATCACACAAGAATTCTTAAACATACATAGATGTGTTAAGAATATTTTTGCTGTTGGGTTGTTGTCTCATTGACATATACAGCACATCTCCTTTTACTCATAGCATCTGTACCTTTTCAATGTATTGCAGAAAATATTTGCATACACATTTTTCAAAACATGATAGGTGATCTAGTGATCACAGAATGAGGACATGTAAAACTGAAGCAACATAACAGATAAGTACAAACAAGCACCATTGTAAAAGGACAAACAAAACACAGATGATGACCAATAGAAACCCGTGAAGACTAGTGTACCAGTAAAGTGAACATTTCATGCTTCTTATTCAACATCTTTTGTCATTTCATGTAAAATCTATTTAGTATGTCACTTTCCTTATACATGTAGGACTTTGTGAATCGAAATATTTTCCTTTTTAGTACTGTTAAGTTTCATATTCATAGGGGTGTTGTGGCATGAATTAATATAACATTTTCTTTTTTAACATTATGCTACTAAGGTAGCATTATCCGTTTTCATAATGAACAAAAGATATTATAGAGTGGCGTTCCAATGATAGTCATACATGTACATGTACATAATTGTCTCATTAGCAATCATACTACATCACCATATTGTTATACATGTATGTGTAATTTGTAAACTTTTCGTAATGAAGACAAATGAAGTTGAACACAAGATATTTATTTGCATTTCTTTCCATATGGTCTCTGCACAACTGCTACTGTACCACTTCTGCTTCAAATGCAATAGATTGGGAGCAGAGTCTAGTATTTGTTTTTAGTTTAATCATACCACCTTCACTTGCACTAAAAGCATACATCAGGTTTGGCATATGAACTACAATAATATGGTGTTTTCAACGGATAAGCACATGTTAGTTTTTCTCTCACAAAACATGTTTAAATATCATACTAATTGTGATAGAAGTAGCAATTGGTCCACTACATGACAGCGTTGTCATATTCTGAAAAAAGTAATCACTAATAGTTTTTCCTGTCTGCCAGGGAGTCTTATTTTCAAACAGAAAAGAATTCGGAGTCCTGCATTCAGCACATGTTATTACGTCTCTTGCATGCTGTACTGTTAGGGAAATTTGATCAATATCTTTGTTCTTTCTTATAACAGGATCCTGTTCAAAAAGAAAAAAAAATGCTGTCAGATACTGAATGTTAATATATGTAAACTAAATTATAAACCAAGGACTAGTACAGGGGTCTGTCTATATAAATAAACAAAATCAACATGGCCGACAGCTATAATACTGATTTTTAATTGTAAATTGCATCAAAGCTGGGGCTTAAGTAATAGTATAATAGTCCCAGATCAAAGTGGGTGAAATAATGAAACATTCATATTGTATAGACAAAGCCTGTATGTCTTTGGAAAGTTATTCATGTGATAAGAACAGTAATTTTCTGAAGATGGACAAGTTTATATACCAAGGACTAGTACAAGGGTCTGTCTATATGAATAACAAAATCAACATGGCCGACAGCTATAATACTGATTTATAGTTGTAAATTGCTTCAAAGTGGGTGAAATAATGAAAAATTCAACTTATATAGACAAAGCCTGTATGTCTTGGGAAGGTAATTCATCTGACTAATAGTTTTATTCCTTTTAGAATGAAAAGGTTTTAATAAATAAAATATGACCATGTTCCAAATTTTCATAACGTCCATGTTGACCCAGCTTTCTCCTTATTAATGACTGGAATAAAACATAATCGTCAAAATATTTTCACCTAATGATTACTACAAACTGAATAGGAATAAGTAAATAATATAAGAAATTGAAATATATACTTACATTGTGGTGTATAGAAATGCTTGATGTAAAATAACAATCGTAAGTCAGTTGCGAATTTGTCTGTTAGTAGTTACAAAATGGCGGTACCCACGCTATCTTTAAAGTCACGTCGGACGTGTTTTCAATTGGATTTCGCGGACCACTGTTGCAGTTGCCCATCTCTGTGTATATATGTCTCTGGGTTAATCTTGGTTGAAAATGGAAAAAAAATATATACATTTTTCTCATTTATTTTCTGATATATAACTGAATGAATTCTTAAAGAATTAGTAAACAAACTTACAAACAGTGGGATAGTTGAGAGTGTTGTTAGAAGAGAAAGAATATTGTACTTAATAGGACTGCACAGTTCTAGTAAAAGAAATGCCATCAAAATGTAAATATCTCATGCTAAATCCATTATGAATTAAATAAGACTTTTCTTTTCAGAGTTCAGCATTATTTCATGACCGGAAACCAGGAGAAGATCTGGGAGAATATGAAATTAATCTTCCAAATGTCATCATAAATATCAGAGTATACCCTCCTTTTAAATACCTGAAATTGCAGCATGTTCATAATAAGGTTTGATACTTTACATTTAATCATTCTGATTTTAACAACAGTTGTTAAATTTCAACGTCTTAGGGTTTTTCAGACATAAAAGCTACAATTTATGCACAAATATAACATCCAGACAATATGGTATTGGTACATTTAATAGCATGTGATATTTTGGTAAATCTAAGATATCTTTTCCAGGACAGGTAGTTATTGTAGCTTTTAAAATTTTTGGCAATATCTTGGAAAATCAATCTTTTTCTCATACTGTAAACCAACTTATTTTAGTGGAAATATTATCAACATGTAGCTGACTTGGCAACTATTAATTTGCTTATGATTTACTTATTTTGCTATCAATGCATTCTAACAGTTGGACATTTTCAAGAAGATGTTTATTCCTGTTATTTTGTTACATATTCAAAGGACACTTTTAAAGTGAACTCAAGGTTTTAAAAACTATTTATATTTTTATTATTTAGATAATGCCAGATCTGAATTTTAATGTTCTTGGAACACAGAAGTTGTCTGATTTACGTGACAAGATTAGTTGTGTAAATGACCTTGCTATAGCACATGACCTCAGCGATAACCCTGATAATGAATTGATGCCATATGCAAAGGTAGGATTTTGATTAATATTATTAGAGTTCAGTAAAATAGATTTACTAATTATTCATTCATGTGTGTTCCAATTTGATTAAAAAAAACTAAAGCCAAATCTGGTCTTTAATTTTGATAATGTTTAATAAAATGATAAGTTTTCAAGAAACATAATAAATCATCCAGCTTACTTTCACTGAACCAGACACAGGAAATACTTGGATAGTCTTATTGTGAGACATATCAAGATGAAAGTGAAAAGCTGATCAAATATATGCCATCCAGTTGCTTATTCAGATATTTCATGTTAAACATGACCATATACAAAACTGACAGTCATCACAATGTATATTTCAAAATAAAAATGAACAAGCTGTTTACTAATGAAAAACTCAATTCATTTTGAAGTCAGACTTAAAATTTTACTGGTATGTTTCTAAATACAATATGTAAAAGGAGTGTTCCAGAATTATAATCCTTTCTCCTTGTTTACATAGGATGTTTTGATGTATTTTATTAATTATTTATCCTTTTACACAGGATTTATATAAATCTGGATTTTTCTACATAGAAGGAGTGTTTTATAATGATATGAGATATCCAGAATGTCAAGACTATGGCAGGTATTACAGACTATAACATTGAAATTCTTCTGAACCCTAGAAAAATATGAAACCATGCTTCCTACAATTTCAATGTCAATATTTGTCTGTTTTTGCCTCATTAGTGTATACCCCAGATCTCTTTTTGTTCATTTAGTGTTATTGTACACAAACCAAGGTAGGAGATTAATTTTTTTTAAATCGGGAAAACAAACAAAATATGTTAAAAGACTGTGAGTTTGAGGAAAACAGAAACTGGAATTAGTACATTTTAAATGTATTGATGGACATGGATAATTGAAATTGAATATTGGAACCTTGTAAAATAAGTAGGAAATGGACAATAAAAATAGTATGTAATTTGTAGCGTTTAGGAAATATATATCCCGTGTTCAAAATACTCCCCTTTTGTTTCAGCAGAGAAAGTTCTAATTCTAAGGTAATTGCTGCTGAACAATTAAATTAAAGAAGATACCAAGGAAGAGTTCTATATGAACTTATCCCCAATTAATTAACTGCCAAACTGAATGTAGAACCATTCACTGGAGACCAATTGACGTGGTTGTAAAAGAATTATTGGACACTGTTCAGCCTTAAACAATGAGAAAAATCCATACCTTACAGTTAGCTATAAACGACCTGGCATGACTGTGAAAAAATTCAAAAGAGAAAAATAGCCTGAATTATGCTTAAAAAAAATAACCAAAAAACAAATAAAGTAGAAAGCAACCAAAAATAATTACTGAATAACATGCTCCTGACTTGGAAAAGGCACAAGGAGCATATGGGTTAAACATATTTGAGAGTGCTCAACTCTCCCTCAACCTAGGACTGGGGTGAACCATTACAACATACAAACAAACAATAAAAAGTCTGTTCATAAGCCTTGACTCAATAAATTGCACTTAGCCCACCATAAAAGCCCTTTAAAAAACACAACGTCCCTTTCAAAGAGTGCTCACTGTTTCTAAAAACTAGTTCAAAGCCATTCTCAAGTAATGAATGAAGGTTTCCCCTGACTAAAATTGTTTTTGTAAGTTTGTAGTAAAGAAATGACATTTACTAGTTATAAAAACTTTCAAAGACATACATCTTATTTAAAGAAGACATTTTTCTGTCCTAAAACTATTGGTGCAGAAAAATTACAGGTGAATTCGAAACATTTGTATAACAGATAATTTTAATTTACTTAATAATGAAAACAAAAAATGATGTTAAAATTAAAAGTTTACTCAGTCTTTAACCATAAATAAAATGATTGTTAAAGCCTATTTATGATTTCATTTAGTTTTATGACAGTAAATAATGATTGACTATATTTACCCACAGCACGATCATGCAGTGGGCCTCACAGCCAGGACGACAGATTGGTGAAATGAGAACAGAAAAGATGGAAGAAGCATTATTCTTAAACCTGAATGTTAGATTAGGGCAGCCATATTGTTACTTGCACCAAGGAGATTGTGAACATCTTATTATATTTTCAGATATAAGGTAGTGCTTGCATCATATTATATTTATAATATAACGATAACCTTTAATTTTGTCAAGGGTATCCAATGTGCCCATTACTGGAAAAATTGACATTGAAAAGAATCTTAAGTGAAATTATAAATGTGTAGTTTGTCGTAAAATTCTTATAAGTGTGTCTAAGTCTAGCTAGTGCCATTTATTCAATTACATTTGAGTTCCTTTGGTAATCTGGTTAAATTTACACAAACAAATCAGAAAAAAGCTGTACAACATTGCAGACACAATGTGATACATCAAAAAGTATTATGATTTTATTAAAATTGCCATGTCTACAAATGGGGTATTTACTTATAAAATAATGACATTATTTCAATGTGGTGTTTGTCTTTTTTTCAATCAGAACAATTTTGGAGTTAAAAACACATGGCCTGGGCCGTGATATTCGTTAATTTTATCCCTCGCTAACGCTCAGAATAAAATTCAAATATCACGGCCCAGCTAGGCCATGTGTAAATTTCCAACAAATCTATGGCTTTCATGAATTATTTCGATTCCAATGGGACAAATGCGGTAATTTAAAAAACTGAAGCGAGGGTTGGTATGCTGTGTGTGTGGCTGTTCTATTTTACCCCTGTTAGATAAAGCTAAAAATTTCCAATAAATCTATAGCTTGAATGAATTATTTCTTAAATGACCATTAGAAAAAATGTGTATAATTCTTTTAAATGTCAACACCTAACATTTGCCATGTTTGATATTCTTTTTTTTTCTCGTAAGCTACAGTTGACATTTCATAACTAAGGAGCCGCCATATGCATGTTGACCTGCTGAAATCAGTAAATGTGAGAATAATGCAATAGAATAGAAAATAAAACAACACCTTCCTCAAATCTCCATTTTAATGTAATATTATCAGAATTTGGAGGGATCACGTAACGGAAATACCCTCAACTTTAGTGTTTTCATTCGTATGTTGTTATGTTTTGAAATGACTTTAATGTGCCAAAAGCATTAATGGAAGTTTGCGGAATTTTATTTTATTTTGATTTTGTACATTTTTCCGAGCCCTAATGCATTAATTCTTTTTGTTATGCATCAGAATAAGAACAAGGGTTCTGTTTTTGTTTTCAATTGCAATTATTAACACAGCGAAATCGGCATAGAGTTTGCACATAGGTTACGATACATGTGGATTTACGTGGGAGGTATATTGTAAAAGCCATTATTATGTACATCTCTGAGTCTGCGCTAAGTATAGATATATCAAGAATTTTATCAAGGTGTTGTTTACAAAGCGAAAGAAGCATGTCATATTAGAATGATTGGCTTTGAACAGTCTATGAAATATCAGAGTTTATATTTCACTCATTGTAACTAAGGATTTAAATCATTTGAGATATTGCTCTCTAAAATGATATATATTGCAAAAACATTTGTTACTTACGTAAAGTTAAAATATGTACGCACACTTAAAATTTTATTTACCTTTTCAGATTGTTAAACCCTGATGACAGTGTTGATATTAGAGATTATCCTAGACTTATGAAAAAGAAGAGAGTAACACGGACATTATGTAGAGCTTGTATGATGCATTCTGCAAGGTACTTTTGATAACAAAAAATCCAAGGAGCACCACAATTAATTTTATATTTTATTTCATTAACCTTTGATGTGTGTTTATCAGATATAGGTAAATTACAATTTTGGAACTTAAAAGGATTACTTTCGTAAACTTTCAAAACGTTTAATACTAGTAGAATTTTGCTCTTAAATTTTATTTATATTGTCTTCAACCTAATGTAATTAACTATCCAGCCATATTTTGATATTTGATATGCATTGGTTTTATAGGTCATAGGGACTAATGGCTGTAGAATTTCTTTCTTTTTTTTTACACTTAAAGAGTTTGTTTGCATTTCTCCTGTTGCCATACTTTTTATCCCTGCATTCAAAGATTTGGCAGACATTTTGTTGTATATACCTACATCTGGATAATGTCATCAACAACAATTTCACAGAATCTTGAAAATTGGCACAATGTTAAGTTGTTATCACTATAAATTATGTAGATAAAACCATGGGTTACAGAATTTTTATATTTGTCCAGAGTGCAGAATTTATGTAACAAATTAATTTCATGATAACCAGTAAATCAGTGAAATCCACCAAACTTTTTAGGATAGAAAATTGTCACATTATACATTGTATATGCAAACTCGATGTATGGTAAAGGAATTTTCAATCATCTCCTTAGGGATCCTTGAGGGGTTCAAAAAACAAAATAAATTGTTCAATAAATCCTCTTGAATTAAATAGACACAGTAGTAGAATGAAAATTGGTCTGTATTGAAGGTTTCAGAATTTTTACATTTGCCTTGAGGCTAGATTTATGGGGCGGAAATGCATTTCGGGTTATCAAGTTATGCTGAAATCTTTAGAACTACTAAGCAATGGAAGTTAGAAAACTTGAATCACATGTCACAATATAAATACAAACTTAAGCAATAGTGTAGGAATGTTTAAGCCAACCCAGAGTGCGGAGCATGCTCCACTGTGGTGCCCAAAAGCGAAAAGTAAAACCATTATCGTCACCATAACAGTTGAGATAATGAAAATTGGTATGTAATAATATTATAAAGTAACTGATATAGACCATTATACTTGAATCATAGACATCTGTTATATATGAAAAATAAACAGGTGATGGAAGATTGTTTAAAATTAATACTTTGCAGAAAAAAAATTGCACTGGGTTATGCAGTTGCCTGCCATTTTTAAATGAAATTCAGAATGAAAAAATTTAATGATTGAGAACTAATGGGTGTTTCCAGGCAGGAACACCTTAAGAGTAGACAAAAAAATATACGAAAGGAAGGGGAGACGACATGGTCTGCTTTTAAGGTGACGAAGTGACAGAGCAAAGTCACATGTGGACTGTTATGATGGAGCTTGAGGAGATCTCACACAGATATACAAATAGTCAAATATGATGCTATTAAAATGGTAAAGGGGGTATTTTAGGTAAAAGCATAGAATGTATTAAAAACTTGTTCATTGTAAGATATGAAATTTGTCAGAAAAGAAGTAATTTTCTTATGAAACAGGGTGTGTTACATTCCCAACTGTGATTTGTTTGTTGCTCAATTAGAAATGATGGTTTGTGATGATTAGTATTTATGTTTTTCAGGTGGATTGTATACAACAGTGAGCATGCTCCAGAGAATCCTTGTTTCTTTTGTGATCAGTGTTTTAAATCATTTCATTATGACGAACATGGCAAGAAAATTGGAAATATTAAAGCTTATAAATATTTTGATCAGAGTGCTGCAATAAATTTGTAGTTGACATTGAGTTTCTTGAATTAGTTCACCAGAATGATATTAGTCTTTTATACGAGTATATTGCCTTTCATCAGATATGTGTGCATTCAGTAGTAATCTAATCAACAAAGATTGAAGCTATATGAGCTGCATCGGATAGAAATTGACCTTAGGCAAATTAATATCAATACATCTGGTAACCTATTTCCGGTTGAAAATATCTCTTTGCAAAGTCTGTAACTGCTTGAAAATTGAATTATTATAAGAACCCTACAAAACAGACCAAAATTCATCTTTTATTTCGTATTTGAATGTTTGAAAATCAATCAGTCTTATGCATGTACATGTATACATGCACTTGCATAATGTCGATTTCTATCCGATGCAGCTCATATATAGATTTACTGTCTGGCCAATGCTTCATTAATGTTCATAGTAAGTTCCTATCATGAAGATTAGCATATTTATAGGGCATCCTGCTCAGTGGACAAACTCCAAAGTTATTGCTCCTTTGCACTTATGGTACTATTAAGTGTGCACTTTATGGACACAACTCTTCCCACATGCTTCATCGGATGTTCATGAAACTTTGTTCACTGGAAGATCTATATATTAAATTGAAATTTTCCTGAGTAATGCTAATTTGAAACTTTTATCTTCAATCTTGTATCAATAACCTTTAAAAGAATTGCACTGGCATAGTGGATTTAAGAAACACTATCTGAAGGCATAAGCAACAAAAGTCTGTTTGATATTTTAGAAGGAAGAAATGACAAACATGGATAACACTATATTTATATTTATATCATTCCATTATTAGAAGGTTATCAATGCCACATTTTAGACACATTAATGATCTTGGTTAAGGCTTCAGTTTGATATAAAATTGACTTAAGGCCAAATAGTTATACCCCCGCTTTAAAAAAGTGGGTGTATACTGTTTTACCTCTGTCTCCATCCGTCAGTCCATCCAGCCCATGAATATTTTTTCGTCGCATCTTTCTCAGGAACTACATTACAAGGATTTCTGAAATTTGGTTTCAGGGTTTATATAAGTCAGCTCTACCATGTGATGCGTTTTCAGATTCATCACTCAACAACTTCCTGTTTACATTCAAGTATTTGGGCACAGGGTATCATCAGTGAGCAGTAGCTCACAGTTTCACTTGTTAGTTTTAACTTTATGTTTATACAGTAATGTTTTCAAAGGTTTCAAATGATTAGATTCACTTTTTAAAGATTAGATATGGTGGAACTGACCAAAAAGAGATAGAAAAACTGAGTAATAAAAAAAAAATGAGTCATTTATGTAATTAGTGGATATAAAGGTTTGAATATTACAGAAAGTCTAATGATTGTGAAAGTAAAATGTCTACCATGTGCAAGTGTATATTTAAAATAAAGTAGCTGTTTGACCAATATTTTCGTAATTAAAGAGCAAATAACATGTCAAAAGTTGGCAGTAGATAATTAAAATGGTGTATAAAGTTTCTGCAAGTCATAAAAAAACAGAATTAGTGTCATGATATGTCTTCAACTTCGAATTTTGCACAATCTCAAAATCTGGAGTGATCACATAGATCCAGCATGGCTGAACCAAAAATCTTCTCCTCTGAAACTGCTGGGCCAAATTTAACCACACTTGGCCACAATCATTATTAGGGTATTTAGTTTTAAAAAATGTGTCCAATGACCCTGCTTGTCAACCAAGATGGCCACAGGGCTCAAAATAGAACATAGGGGTAAAATGCAAGTTTTTAGCCTATTATCTTGAAAACCATAATGAATGGAGAAAATCTGACAGGTAAAAAATGCTGAGAATGTTGAGATCTACCTGCTATCCATTTACTTCAAACTGTCAGATGACTTCGTATAGGAGTTGTAGGCTTTAAATGTCAAATTTTATCAATTTTTGTCTCGCCTTGATGGAGTCCAAAAGCGAAACATAGGTATGCTGTTTCGTGCTTTGGCAGAGGAGTCTTCAAAAATGTACTAGTTTGTGATTAGGTCTAGTTTATGGTGAACCACATAAGTGGTAGGTCAATGATATTTGGTATGCAGTTGTATAAGCATTGGCATATCTTATTTCCATGGAGATTATTTGGCCTTGCCCCCTCAGTCATGGTCTATTGACTTTGAAACTTTTGCTTCGTTTACATGTATTAGTTTGTGATTAGGTCAGTTTAAGATGAACTGCTAATGTTAAGTCAATGATATTTTTTGCAAGTTTCATTTCCATGGAGATATATAACCCCACACCCTCATTATGGTTCATTGACTTTGAAACTTTTACATAGTTTACAAGTTAATGTTTGTGTTTGTTTAAAGGAAACAACTTACAAGATTTCAGTTGTATTTGGTAAATATTTGTATTAGTATTGGCACATCTCATTTCCATGGAGATTGTTTAGCCCTGTACCTTCAGTTATGGTTCATTGACTTTGAATATTTGCATAACTTACATATTGATAAAGTATTGCTATTTTAATTTCAACATTTGCATTATCAAAATAACAAATAGGTTAGACATATCTCTGTGTTTACAGTTTATTTTAATTTGTGTCCATTATTTTGAAAACTGTGATAGATACAGAGAAATTTTTGTAAGGAAAAATGATAAGGAAGATCGACAAACAAGTAAACATGGCTGAAATCATGAAGTTATTGCTCTTTACTGACAATTTTTACCATTTTTTTTAATTTTTGCCTTAAATCTTACAAACTATAATAGATAGAAACTTTTCAAGCCAAAATGATCAACAAGTCAAGATCTACAAGTAAGCAATGATGGCTGAAATCTTTAGTTGACTCGTTATTGGAGTTATTTCCCATTAAAGATGTTTTAACATTTTTTTTTGGAGTTTTTGCCCATTATCTTGAAAAGCTTAATAAATACAGATGTAGATGGAAACTTTAAAAAGCAAAAATGATCAGCAGGACAAGATCTACAAATTTGTCACCATGACTGAAATAGTCGGGTACGGTAACTCTTTGTAGAGTTATTGCCCTTTCATGATTTTTACCAAAAAATAGCTATTGAAGATGCAGGTGAGTGACACAGGCTCTTAAGAACCTTTTGTTTTCTTAAACCACGAAAATTGGTACCAACAATCGTAGTAAACTTAACTTCGTGGTTAATTGGTCAATGTTAAATTTTCATGGTTTAAGTCATATGAAAAGTCTGGTGAATACAATCTCAAAGAAATTATAGGACCTATTCATGCATATATACTAAACTATTAAAGACCTCTGTGCATGCATTTTACATTTACTACTTATCCATAATGTATAATGGACAAACAAATATTTCATTCAGTGATTGTTGATAAAAAAAAATGGCTGCTAAACAACTTACAACTTTCTGGTTTTATTCCCGAAGTTTACTCATTGTGACCTTGATAAACAATCAACCCTGAATCATGGAGCATATAAAACACAAGTGAGGTAACACAGCAATGTGATTGATTTTTAATATTTTCCATGCGAATACATTTGTTAATTAAACTTTGTCATAACAATTGTTAAATTGGTGTATTACTTTTTTCAGTATCCGTTCCTATACTATCTTCCTTCCATGTTTGGTTGAAGTGTATAAAACAGATATTTGTTTGTTAAATTTGAAGGTTCATATGACTAAGTTCGTTTCTCAGATACTATAAGCAATAGTATTAGGTATGTGGAATGATTACAGGGTGAACATGTCTGTCACAGTTTTCATCTGACCTTGTCCTCATTAACATGGATCATTGATAATGAAGTTTATTTGATTATTGCATATACTTAAAGATTTTCAATATGAAGTCAGGATATTAAGCAGAGCAAGTGAGACTTTTCAAAGTGCACTCAGCATAAGAAGAAATTCCTCTTTCATTTAGCAGTGCTCACAGTAATCTCAGTTGATCATAAAAATTCATTTAAAGCATCAAGACAAGCTAAAAAGCAGCAAATGCTCCAACTCAGATTAACTTTGAAGGTGTAGGGTCATTCAGTCCTTAATATTGCTGAAACACAATCATGTAGTGTGGAATGAAGGTCAATTTCAAGTTGTGAAAATGTAATAAAACTTTTACAACCTGCTTTAACAAGAGTGCACACGCTGAAATGTCTCGCCTGCTTTTCTACCATTGATTTTATGTTGACAGCCCTAAATATAAAGTTTAAACTACACGTATCACATTAACTTAACATCATCCAAGAAAATGAGGTCAAGGTCAGATAAACCAAGCCAGAAATACATGTTCATCTTACAATCATTCCATATATTGAATATAGTTGACCTATTGCTTATAGTATGCAAGAAACAGACCAAACCATTAAAACTTTATATTGACCAATGAACCATGAATATGAGGTCAAGGTCAGATGAACCCTGCCAGACAGACATCATTCCATGGATCAATTATAGTTGATGTATTAAATATAGTATCTAAGAAACAAACTTGACCAGGAAAACTTAACATTGACCAAGGAACCATGAAAACTAGGTCAAGGTCAGGTGACAACTACCGGACAGACATATAAACTTTACAATCATTCCATACAACAAATATAGTTGACCTATTGCTTATAGTTTAAGAAAAACAGACCACAACATAAAAACTTAACATTGAGCAATGAACCGTGAAAATGAGGTCAAGGTCAACTAAAACCTGCCAGACTGACATGTACATCGTAAAATATTTCCATACACCAAATATAGCTGACCTATTGCATACAGTATTAGAAAAACATACCAAAACACAAAAACTTAACTTTAACCATTGAACCATGAAAATGAGGTAGAGGTGAGATGACACCTGCCAGTTGGACATGTACACCTTACAACCATTCCATACACCAAATATAGTAGACCTAGTGCTTATTGTATCTGAGATATGGACTTGACCTTGTTCCTGATCCATGAAATGAGGTCCAGGTCAAGTGAAAACTGTCCGACAGGCATGAGGACCTTGCAAGGTACGCACATACCAAATATAGTTATCCTATTACTCATAAGAGAGAAATTAGCATTACAAAAAATCTTTTTTTCAAGTAGTCCCTGAACCATGAAAATGAGGTGAAGGACACATGACAGACGGAAACTTCATAACATAAGGCATCTATATACAAAGTATGAAGCATCTAGGTTTTCTACCTTGCCGCCAGATCACTATCCCTATGTCGAGCTTTCTGCGATAGAAGTCGCAGGCTTAACAAAAAATTACACATCTGAAAGAAGATACATGTAGGTGACTAATGGTCCTATTGAATATTTGAACTAAAGATTCAAAGATCTGGAACTTATCATCTGGTAGCCACAAATGTCAAGAATGACCTCTATCCAACATAAGAGTGCACATGCTGAAATGTCTCGCCTGCTATACTGACCATTGATTTTATGTTGATAGTCCTAAATATAAAGTTTACTACAAGTATCACATTAACATTTATGATCCAAGAGAATGAGGTCAAGGTCAGATAAACCAAGCCGGAAATACATGTACACCTTTAATACAATCATTCCATACACAGAATATAGATGACCTATTGCTTATAGTATAAAAGAAAGACCAAACCATGGAAATTTTATATTGACCAACGAACCATGAAAATGGGGTCAAGGTCAGATGAACCCTGTCAGACAGACATGTACACCTTAAAATCATTCCATGCATCAAATATAGTTGACCTATTGCTTGAAGTATAAGAAAAAACAGATCAAAATACAAAAACTTAACATTGAGCAATGAACCGTGAAAATGAAGTCAAGGTCAACTACAACCTGCCAGACACATGTACATCGTAAAATATTTCCATACACCAAATATAGGTGACCTATTGCAAACAGTATTATAAAAACAGAGAAAAACACAAAAACTTAACATTTACCACTGAACCGTGAAAATGAGGTCAAGGTCAGATGACACCTGCCAGTTGGACATGAACACCTTACACCAATTATAATAGACCTATTGGTTATAGTATCTGAGATTAGGACTAGACCACGAAAACCTAACCTTGTTCACTGATCTATAAAATGAGGTCGAGGTCAAGTGAAAACTGTCTGACAGGCATGAAGACCATGCAAGGTATGCACATACCAAACATAGTTATCCTATTTCTAAAAATAAGAGAGAAATTAACATTACATATATTAATAACTTTTTTTTCAAGTACTGTAAATTCAGAAATTATTGCGTGCATTTAAAGATTGGACAAAAATGCGAGATTAATTATTGCGATTTCAGGAAAATCTTCGCACAGATATATTTATCAGATATCAGAATGCGAGTTCTTATTATTGCAATACTAAACCAGTTGCATTATCGCATTAATAAAAATCTCGCAATAATTTCTTAATTTTCAGTAGTCACTGAACCATGATAATGAGGTCAAAGACAATGGACACATGACAGACAGAAACTTCATATCATAAGGCATCTATATACAAAGTATGAAGCATCCAGGTCTTCTACCTTCTGAAATATTAAGGTTTTTAAGAAGTTAGTTAACGATGTTGTTCCCGCAACTGGGTCACTATCCCTATGTTGAGCTTTCAATGACAGAAGTCGCGGGCTCGACAAAAACCATAACAAATCCTATGAACTCTCCTTATATTCAGCCTCAAATTACCATTTGCATTTTTCAAAATTTGTTTAATTCACCATCTAGAATTGCATCTGGAAGCAATTCATTTGCCTGATCAAAATAACATTAGCAGTTTAATAAAGGGCCTTCCATACATTATTGCTTGGAATAGATTAGTAAATGATCACAAAAACTTGTGTATAAAGTTTGATTCAGATTCAGTTTTTTTTTTTTTATAGAAAGATGGGAATGTGATTTCAATATACTGATTAGTGTTGACGTTTGTACAATGTATGAAGATTTTAGATTTTGCCTTGCATATTCAGAATAGAAGGTATGATAAGGCCACTTTTTGTCCTTTTCAATAAAAAAATGAAAAGGTATAATATATCAAATAAAATGCCAAGAATTATCTATTTCTGTAAGGCCTTAATTCCTTTTTTCCAGAAATTAGTTGTAAACTAGCCATTTCAGTTATATATCCATTTTAACACGTTTTTGATATCATACCTGATATGTCTTACTTTTCATGTATCAATGTATCAATATAAGTTCTTTCATAAAAAAGGCTCTTTTCATACTCCTTTGACAATCATACAAGTCCATAGATACATTTTTCTCTGATGTTTGATTCAGATTTGCCATGAAGTTCAGTGAGGAAAATAATGATTTAATATATGGTCAGAATCCTGTAATTCAGTGGTTGCTGTCCATTTTATCTGGGTTTTTTTCGTTTATAGTTTTGTCATACACCAGGCTGTTGTTTTTTTTTATTTGAAATGTTTTACATTTTGTCATGTAGTGGCCTTCTATAGCTGAATATACAATATGGGTGTTTGTTCATTGTTGAAGGCAGTACAGTAACCTATAATTGTTTAAATCCACATCATTTGTTCTCTGTTGGATATTTGTCTCATTGGCAATCATACCATATCTCCTTATTTTAATTTATTAGGAACAGAAGATTGCACCACTGCTGCCATGTTATTATGTACCTCACATTCAATGAAATTCTGGTTTTCCCCCCCAGGATTTTTACTTTTTTCAGGATTTTTCCTAAACAGAACATTTTAATAATTTTTCCAGTTTTCCTGGTAGTATCGATTTTGAACCATTTTTAACATGCAAAGAAGACAGCCAAGAATGTATAATTTTTTATTTCCTTTTTAATATCATATTCAATTTTTTTTGTAATTAAATAAATATCTTATTACAACATTTATCAGTGACAATACTTTCTATACACTTCTACCAATGCTTTCAGATAATATAAGAGTTATTAATTTTGACAGTTTGAACTATTCATCCAAATTTAATGCCACCCAAAAAATAAATCTACAAAGTGGGTGATTCTAAAAAAAAAATTTTTTTTCCTTTCTAATTTTCAAAAATATTGAGAATATAATACATGTACCATATTTTAATATTTGATAATGTAGAAATGAAAATTTGGTTTATTGCAAGGTTGCACAAACTGCAGGGATTAGGTTTCTTATTTTCGTGTAATCTTTTCGTACTAGTTTTCAACGCATATCCCTGAAAATACACAGAAAAGAGTGCACAAATATTGAAGTTGTGCACATGCTATTAAGGAATAGTTACAGGAATTTCTCCCCACTTATCCACACTTGGGAACTTGGTAATTTTAATTAAAATTTGTTGACACAGATATATGTCTCGCCTGTCGGCACAAAATTCAGAAAAAGACAATCTGATGGACAGCAACACTGCTTATCAATACAGTTGCTGGACCATGATCTAGTGAGCAGGGCCTGAAAATGGTGTACAAACTGAGATGTACAGACAGTTATGTAACTTTATAGAAAATATTGTTGTCTATTGTTAAGAAGTTCCTATCAATCTAACTTGAACAAAAAACTTAACATTGAAAATTGCTAATTAATTCAAAGTCACTGGACCATGTCCTAGGGGACAGTGCCTCAAAATAGTCGTCAAACACATATGATCTGATAGTATTGCAACTTAATATTAAATATCAATGATCTATTATAAGTAGTTCCTATCAAACTAACTTAAGCAGAAAACTTAACAATTGTTGACGCCAACATCGTCGGAAAAGCAATCCTGTCCCGCTTTGTGCGACTTTCATTGCAGGCTAGACAAAAACAGATTGATCTAATTTTTTGCACTTAATTCCTCCTACAGTTTTCAACATAAATCTTTGAAACTTTACAGAAAGATTGAAAACATTTTAGAAGTTGTGAATCTCTGCTATTATGGAATCGTCGAGACTCTCACCCAATTTTACTTATCTTTGGAAATTTTGTCAGCAAAAGACAGTACCAATTTTGAGTAATCAACTACTGAAGTCTTGAATCTTCACTGAAAGTTTGCAAACCTTTTGAAGTTATGCACCTCGTATTATACAGTTGTTTCAAGATTTCCCTCTCAATATTTATTTTTTAACATATATTAATGTTCATAATAGACCATTCTCCATTGTTTAATCAACATTTTGGGCAACCCAACCATTTTGAGTCTTGATCTTTTTAAAATTTTTACATTAAAACTTCTGGTTAAGGGAAATGGAAAGAAAACGGCCAGTTTCCTTTTGTAATAGAATATTTTTGTTATATATGTGGCTTATACATGTATCATTACAAAATGTATAAAAAATACTTTTAACAATTTAACAACTCAGCTGTTTCACATAACACAGCATTTTATAATACAATGTATCCTCATTTCATTGATTAACACTATAGTCTTCAAAAGATAAAAAAGTTGATGTGATATTAGAGAGTTTTAAATCACTTTGGCTTCTCTCCCTCCCTAGTTATTCCCTCAATATAAGTTACATTTCATCCCTTCAAGAGATACTCCATTTTATAACAGTCCTCCAAACAATTTCTTTTTTGATCCCAAAATCAAAAGGCTTATACCCCTTCTTTATATGGTCCTTCTGTATAACTAAAGTTAATGTTTGCGGAAACCATTTGTTTCTGATGCGCAGATGGAGAGAGCAGACAAGCCATGACTGTTCGTTTCAGAATTTTTTTCCTGAGCATAATAATAAATAAAAATTCAGGAACGAGAGCGATAGACAGGAAGAAACATGAAATGTGAACAATATAAAATCAAAACAAGTGCAGATTCTTATACTACTCTTGAGCTTGTACATAAATGATATCTTTTTACAATATCACAGTGATCCATTTTATATATTACTTAAATGATTGACTTTATTCTAAAAAAATTCATTTTCATGAATTCTCTTAAAAACTTGTTTGATTGTATGAAATATGATGACATTTTCTGTTTATAGCATACACACAGTAACTTTACAAACATTTCAAGTATTACATGATAAATTACAAACTTCATAAATTAAATATTGATGAATATTACTCAACATTATGGTAACATCATCAATTATATTGCACACATATTATCTATTCTTAAACACAAAAAAATAAATGAATAATGAAATTTATCTGAGTTTAAACATTTTAACAAATATGAAGTAGATTTGACAGCTACTATTTAATAAGAGCTTACACACTTAAATGTCTCTACTACCGCAAAAATTTCTAATTTTTTAAAGATCAACGTACTCTAAAATTTAGTTCAAGGTCAAATGACACCTGACCTATCCTTCTACTGGAGAATGAATGCAAATATGATGTCAAGGCAACATGTCAGACAGCCATATAACTCATATCATTAGAAACTTTTGCCTAGCAATGAAAACAAGTGACTGCCATGAGAAATATGTTAGAAATATACTCATTACAATATTAAAAGTTTTTATATAAAAATGCCCCAAAATGAATAAATATACCACATATGCATAGTTATTGAGAAAAAATAATGAACAGCAGTCCATTAAAATAAGTAGACAACTGGGTGACAAGATATCATCATAAATAACTTCTATACATAGTTAGCCAACTTAAAAAGAAAGAAGGAATAAGTTACAAAGTTATTGTCAACTGTCAATACTACCTCCAGAAAGTTTAATTTTATGTCTTGCCTCCTACGTTTATTTAGGCTTGACAAAATCTAATACAGCACTGGTGTTTCACAAGATTTTATTGTTAACAGGAAGCATCAACCATGGAGCAAAAATATATTATTGTACTGACTTTAAATAAAATTACTGATCATTCAAAATAATATATAACCATGCAAACACGCACATAAAGTTACAATGAAAAACCAAGCTCTACTAAATATACTATTTGAAAATATTGTACTCAGACTGTCTTCAATATTCAGTCAATCATAATGGCATCTCTTGAGTTTTCACCAGCTGAGTCCTTTATCAATCCATTTACCTTTAGTAGTTCTACATTTGTTTTCTCTATGTTATTTAGTACAGGAGGCTGGCCAGTGTTATTTTCAACTGATTTACTACCTTCCTTCTCAGACTTTTGCGTTTTTATAGCTGTGTTTGATATGGGAGAAGATACTGGAATCAGAGCAACTGGCTTTTTACATTGTGGAGAAGTGAAGGCTTTTGCAAAATCTGTTAATTTCCTTTGGTCAACTGTTACCTTTTTATTTGGAGTAAGAGTATCATTAGGAATGTCAGCTGTATCCATTTTTTCAGGTTCCTTGTCAGCAATTTCCTTTTTCTTTTCTGCCTGAGCTGCCAGTATTTTAGCTTGAGCAGCAGCGTGCTGAGCTGCTATGGTTGAAGGAGACATTGGTCTAGCAAACTGAGTTATAGATGGCACTGGTGTCCTACGACCACTTGGCGTAGTTTCTTCAGGTTTAACTTTGCCTGGTGTCTTTGCTGGTTTGGTAAGAGACTCCCAAGCTGATGGAATAGGCAATCCTTCACAGTTATGCTGTTTCAGTATGTCATCATGAACATACCAACAAATCTTTTTATAATCCCCACGTTTCTCTCGTACAGCAATGGCTGTTATTTTGATTTCTAATTGTCTTTTTGATATAGCACAATTTGCAACGTCTGCATCAGTTTCTGCAGTTATGGATATATTGCTTACATTATCTTGTGACAGACTGGTATCCTTAGCTTGTGACAGACTGGTATCTGTAGCTTTGTTATCAGTATTGTCAATCTCCATACTCATGTCTGCTGTACCTGTTGGTTCTTGCTGTTCTCCAGTTGTTTTAGACTTCCAATACAAACGAAATTCTTGAATTAATTTTTTAATACCCATCAAATTTCCATGGACTAGTCTTATCAAGTCTGGCATTGCTACAATGACAAAGTGGAAAGTTCTTTTAGTATAAGTCATCAATAACCATTTTAAGAATTTTTCCTCATAATTGAACTAATACCTCTATAAAGTAAGTAGATCTAGATCTCTGCATTAAAGAGCAATGAAGAGAAGTAGACACATTTTACACAATGGGTAAAAGTTATTTGCTTATATTTGTCGAATCATAAATGTTACAAAATGTACATAAAAAAGTTTCTTTTGATGAGAGACATAATTATATTTACCTTCTTCAGGAACAGGTTTTCTCTGTGGATTAACTTTTGGTGTGTCAACATTATTGTCACAAGAAGAGTTATCCCCCTTTACAACTTTGACTGGTTCATTGAAGGAGGTAGGCACTGGATTTGTTGTCAATAAGACTGCCTGAAATAAACAAAAATAATCTACATTATACTTTTCAAAAGGAAATGTACATGTACATCAATTTCACTACAACCGAAAAAGTATGATAAACAGATGACTACTTTTATATGAAAGGAGTTTCTGTATCAAAATTGACAGAACAGACATTAAGATAATGCTTTAATTATTCAATTCATGGTGACATTTTTTGTAAAACTTTAAATAGGGAAATATCAAAATTAAACCAATGGAATTACTGCAGTCTTTTGGAAACAAACAGAAGAAGGAAATAAGGAATGGAGCATTAAAACCAATTTCAATTAATAACTGTGGATTCATTTATTTTCGTGGATTGAGAAAAGATTGTATATTTGTGGATATCTGATCTAATGGTTTTGTCAAAAGTTTGCATATAAGCCCAAAGAAATTTTGTACTTCAGTGAACATTTTTAAAAATTAGTTGTTCAGCTATATCCATGAAATCTATTAACATTATTATCCCACTAATAATAATGAATCCACAGTATGTCAATTTTACTTAAATGCACCAAGAATGCACACTAGTAACTTTAAAGTCTTGGAAAACAGGAAGAAGTTGCCCAACAGATCTGAATAGTGCACACACATTACAATACATCAATGTTGAGCTGCTGACCAAATATGAACTTGTTTTGTTCAGAAGTTTCTGATAGACAAAGTGATTGTAATATCCCCCACTTTTATAGTGGGGGTATAATTATTCAACTTGTAATCACTGTGTAGCATCACCACCCATTAGCAGTGGAAAAAACAAATGTGAAGTCAGGTAAGGTCAGATTCTTCTTATTTTCATTATATTCTACGTTTTGCTCACAAGTAAAGTTTTGTGATAGTGATTCCTAATAATGTACTAATATTTAGGGCTGATTATGATCCTTATTAGGTTTGACCTCTCTTCAAATTGTCAGAATCAGACCAGGTGGTACTTGTTCAAATAAGCATGTGACAAGTTAAAAACAAGAATGTGTCCATAGTACACCAATGCCCCACTCGCACTATCATTTTCTATGTTCAGTGGACCGTGAAATTAGGGTCAAAACTCTAATTTGGCATTAAAATTAGAAAGATCATATCATAGGGTTCATGTTTACTAAGTTTCAAGTTGATTGGACTTCAACTTCATCAAAAACTACCTTGACCAAAAACTTTAAACTAAAGTGGGACAGACAGACCGAAAAACATAATGCCCCTAGGTGGGGCATAAAAACACATTTATCCTTCAACTTTTCATTTGATGCTTTGGTAGAACAAAACAATATCCCACTTAAGCTTGAATAACACTGTATTTCAAAATAACTATTGTTTTCCCAGAAAAATTCATGTAAATAAAGCAGATAAATTGTATGGCAAATAGTTTTTTACTGTACAGGGAATATAAAAGATACTTTTTGCTTTCATTGTTTCTTTGCCTTGGGGGTACCTATATTAGGTGGTGATGCTACACAGTGTAAAATTATGTTATAACTACTTTCATAGCAGAGTAAGATTCAATTGCTTGTTATACTCTTTTTATGTTCTATCTACTCAAAATTTTATCACCACATAAAATAATAATCCTCAACTGCTAGCAAGTTTTTAAAGATGAAGAAAAATCACAGGCAGGTCAAAATATTATTCAGAAACTTGCTTATCAGCAGATATTTATTTGAACTATAATACAGATAATATTTTAGAAGAACACTTTTTAAATTTGATACCAATACACCTTATCGCTATTTGTCCGCCATTACTGGACCTCACAAAGGTTTCCATAAATTTTGACGTCATAATAGAAAATAACTGATGCCACAATGGAAAAGTGATTGTTGTATGACGTCAATAGGTCAAGCGGCGCAGATTTCCAAATAGCGATAAGGTGTATATATACTAAAGCCAATCTTAAGAGCTATTTCAATTGCCGGTTTTCTATTTATTGTTCTTTTTTTTTGTTTTTTAAAGTTAGGGTCAGAGCCTATAAATTAGGGCCAGTTGGTTGACAATGGTATTTTTTGCCTTATATTTTTTCCATCCAGCCTCTCACCTTATATTGTTCTAGCTGTTTACTAATCTCCTCTTGTAAAACATGTGTGGCTTGTTCCCAGAAACAACCAATGATCTTTGGTAAAACTGGTTTAGTCTCTCTGTTTCTATCTGCCTCCCATCTAGTTGCCAGTTCATTACGTTTTATTTCTAGAAGCTCTGGTGATACCTGTAGATAAAATTATCAATAAAAAAGAATTTTTTATCTCTTTAAAACTAGTCATATACAGCAATTTTCAAAAATACCTACCTCTAACAAAGGTTATGAACTGCAGATTTATATAGATAATAATATGATTGTTTACCACTTTTTGGGCAAACCCATCACCAATAGTATATATGGCTTCCATGAAAAAAAATTCACACAACACCTTTTCAAAGAGGCCCTGTTATTTTAAAAGGGAATCATGTAGTAGCTTAGCTCTCTAGGAAATAACAAAACATAATTCAGAGTTTTCATCCACACCTTCATCCTATAGCTATATTTGTTCCCTTTACATATAACTTCTTGTTAACTACCAACACCATCTTGACAGAGAAATTTGTGCTATACATGTATTATCCATCCTTACTTTCGTCAGATACTAGTAAAATATAATCTATATTAATTCAAACACCTTAATCCTTCTACAGATACCCTTGTGGAACCATCCATCTTTACCTCACCATCATAAACTGTAAAAAACACTTTCATCCAACCACAGATATCCATGAGGAACCATCCATCCATTCCTCCTTGTCATTATCAACACATTCATCCTCATACAGATATCTTTAAGGAATCATCAATCCTTACCTCCTCATCATCCTTATCTACTCCTTCATCCTCAGACAAATACCCATGAGGAACTATGAAGTCGTCTTCTTCATCCTCGTTGTCTTCTTCAACTTTTTCTTCCTCATCCTAAAAAAATAAAATGAAAAATTTATAATTGAAAGATCATTTTATTTTGTTCAAAGATAACTGATATATACAATTGTAGAGTTGAACATAACATTTTTATTCTGGATTAATAAGAAAGGAGTAAGATCTTTAAATATAATTTAATTAGGCACAGCCATAAATGTAAATCTTGCAAGTAATACACCCATCACTAAAACAAGAGTGCACATGCTGAAATGTCTCTCCTGTTTTACTGACCATTGATTTTATGTTGAAAGTCTTAAAGATAAAGGTTTTACTGGAAGTATCACATAAACTTAACATTTTAAAGATCAATGACAATGAGGTCAAGGTCAGATAAATCCTGCTAGACAGATATGTTCACCTTACAATTATTCCATACACCAAATATAGTTGACCTATTGCTTATGGTAATTGAAAAACAGGCCAAACCACAAAAACTTAACATTGACCAATGAACCATGAAATGAGGTCAAGGTCAGATGATACCTGCAAGACAGACATGTACACCTTACAATTATCACATACACCAAATAAATTTGACCTATTGCTTTTAGTACTTGAAAAACAGAACAAAACACAAAAACTTAGCTTGACCAATGAAACATTAAAATTAGGTCAAGGTCTGATGAAACATGTCAGACTGACATTAACCCCTTTTGACAAAAAATATAACTTTTTTTTTCATGCAGTAGCTGAGACATGAAAATGAGGTCAAGGACAATGGACATTTGACAGACAGAAACTTCATTACATAATGTATCTGCATACAAGGTATGAAGCATCCAGGTCTTCTAACTTCTGAAATATAAAGTTATATACAAATAGTTTACACCCCTCCCAGGTTGTAATCCCCATATCTCGCATACTGAGACTTTCGTCGCAGACGAGACAAAAATTGCAACCATCAATATTTTAATAGACCTGAAGTTGCTTTTAGAACAAAAAATCCAACAAATATACAAGAAATGAGCTGTAAAAATGACAGCAAATCAGGTTTCTGTATTTTGGTTCTTTAAATTTTTATATAAATATCTTTGAGAAATGAAGGAATGAGAGCAAATGCAATGCAATTCCCGATATAATTAATATTTCCTTAAAAAATATTTGATCAGCACTGATTTTCCAAAATGTCTTAAGACATTGCTGATATAAACATTTGATAAAAATTTGAATTGTACCCACAAGAGCACTAACAATGCAACTTTCCATATAATTCATATTTCCAAGGGGTATAATTGTTGATCCACTTTTTGAACTTGTCCAAGACAATGCTGATATAAACCTATGATATAATTTCTATAAGAATCTGGCAAAAATTCTATATGTGAGAGGGCTAACAAGACCTGACGGACCATCGCAAACACAGTAATTCTAGGTCCCCTGCAAGACGACACAAGGAGGACACAATGTGAAATTTGTCAATATTGAACTTGAACTCAAATTTTGTCATAAGTTATTGCATAGAAACTGCTGGCAGCCACCCTCCTACTGTACTTAACCATCTTAAAAAGCAGATTTTTCCTTCTGAAGGCCTGGTTAAAAACACAGATTATCAACAGGTACCCTATATCCATATGATTTTCTGATGGTACCCTATATGTATAAACATCAAATATAACAATCATTTGGAAACCCTTCTTTCTTTTGTCAAAGTATGCAGAATTTTTTTTTTTCATTACTGAAGAACAAGATACCAACAAGAAGTTGCAAGTGTTGTTAAATAGAACATAGTTCAGAAAAGTTAACACAAATTCATTGGTAAGTAGAACCTGAGAAAAGCAGGATGAAAATACAAAACAAAATTGTTGGACGATTGTATTGTGACTACTGCTGTCAGTGTAAAAGTGAAATGATGCCTGTCAACAATTTTTCTTTCTCAAAGTAAAATACATAACAAGAATGTACATGCTTAATTGTCTCGCATGCTTTTCTGATCATGACTGAATTCATGTCGAAAGTCTTTACATCAAAGTTCAAATACAGGTATCACATAAATTTAACATTATCTATGATTCACGAGAAAGAGGTGATCAGATGAATATGTATACAGAGTAATCATTCCATAAACCAAGTCTAGTTGACATATTGGATGGTACCACTTAACGTTGATCGATGAACTATGAAAATGAGGTATCGCAACTTTCAGGTAAGACAAATAGTCTGGACAAAAACAATTTTAAGGACATTTTTTGAGGTCGAAGACTGTAATTCAGCGGAAAGTCAAATGAGTACAAAACACAAACTCAATCAATTAGTCAAAAACATGCACTTCTTCAATAAATAGTTCAAGATCTGCAGGCACAAAGAAAAAAGTATGGACAACTGTTTGATTTCAGAATGACGGACATGGGTACCACTATATACCCCAGCCATTTAGTGGGAACAAATAGTTGGTATAAAATACATCTTCAGATACATACATCACAACCTGAATTATCACAAGATACATACATCACAATCAGATAGACTTTCTCCTGGCTCCTCTTCTTCCCAATCATCATCACTATCATATTCATAATCAAACATTTCCTGTGAAAATAGACAAATTATCATATTAACAATCTCACATTACCTGTCGAACAGCAAAAAATGACATCATATTCATATTCTAACAAATCTTATCAAATAAGAGTAATGCACATCACTCATAAAGCAAAGCTCATTGGCTGATAAGTCATCTAAAACACCTACAAACACAAAACACTAAAACTTTAACTTCAATGATTGATTGCATTTTAAATTTACTATAAAAATCACTGATATATGGTTATTCACATTGACATTGTTTGCCTTTCTTTGGTAGAATTCATGCTTAAATGGAATAGCTCAACATCATTATCTAAAAACACTACCCACAACACTCAATAAAACTAAAACATTTCACTTAAAGTTTCTGTCCAAAGTATTCTAAGCCTATCATCTTTATATAATGAGATTTTGATGCATATTTAATCACAGTGACAGAGTATGTGCAGAGAAACAGTCCTTCAATCTTCCATATGACTTACAGTATCTGTTTTAAATGGATTCCTTGGACTGACATGTGAACTTTTTTTTCTATATGTTCCATAATATGGTGGTCTGTAGTTCATATGGAACTGTAACAGTTTACATTTGTATGTGACTTTTTTCACAGTCTCTGAATCATGGACCAATAATTCCACATCATCTTCTCCTATCGTCCTAAAAAATAAATAAACTCTTGACACAGAGATATGTCTCGGCTATCAGCATAAAATTCAGAAAAAGACAATCTGATGGACAGCAACATTGCTTATTACATGTAATTCAATTACTGGACCATGATCTAGTGGGCAGGGCCTAAAAATGGTTGACAAACTGAGATGTACAGACAGTAATGAAACTTTATAGAAAATATCGTTGTCTATTGAAAGTAGTTCCTATCAATATAACTTAAGCAGAAAAACTTCACTGAAAATTGATAATTAATTCAAAGTAACTGGACCATGTCCTAGGGAGCAGGGCCTCAAAATAGTCGTCAAACTGATATGTACTGATAGTACTGCAACTTAATAAAAAATATCATTGATCTATCACAAGTAGATCCTATCAAATAAACTTAATCAGAAAACTTAACATTGAAAATGTTAATATTCAAAGTCACTGGATCATTTCCTAGGGGGCAGGGCCTAAAAATAGTCGTCAAATTGATATGTACTGATAGTAATGCAACTTTATATTAAATATCAATGATCTATCACTAGTAGTTCCTATCAAACTAATTTAAGCAGAAAACTTAATTGTTGACGCCAAGGCCAGAAAAGCAATCCCTGTCTCTCGCTTTCCGCGACTTTCCTTGCAGGTGAGACAAAAAACAAAAATAACAAGATTATTATGTTAAAATGCCTCCCCTGTTTTACTAATTCGGATTGAATGTTATGCAGAAAGTCTTGAAGATCAAGGTATTACTGCGTGCATCACATAAACTTAATTAGTCAATGGAAATGTGGTAAAAGGCCAGATGAAACCTACCAGGCTGATATGTTTACTGTACAATCATTCTAAAGACCAAATATAGTTGACATTACTTATAAGAAAATAACTATGCTAACCAATTAACAAAGAAAATAAGTCAAGGTCAGTGAACTGTAACTGAAATGTATACCTTTCAATGGTTCTATATACTAAATATAGCTGTCTTATCATCCACAATAACAGAAAATACACACGTGATTAAAACCTATAGTTTTTTTAAGCAGTCATAGAACCATGAAATGATGTCAAGGCTGTTCTTGAAAGTATCCTGGACCTTAATACTGGTACAGTGGTGAAAATATGAAGTGACCCAGATCTAGACTGTATGTAAATACTCTAACTTTTCCTGGCCATCTCGGCACCATTTACTTATCATTTATAACAAGGTATATACTGACATGCTCCTGTACACTACTTACTTTGGAAAGGTTTTCTCTGATTTGCCAGTTTTTTTGCCATTTTGAAGATCTTTAATATACAAAACATTAGATTCCTGAAACAAAAGAGAATGTTTTACAGACAATTTGAATGACCATATAATGTAATAAAAGAATAGCATTCCAATCTCCCCTCAGATATACATATTTTATGTCCAAGTGCAAGAACTTCAATTTTTTTTTTTAGAACTTTTTAACAAATATCCTATAGAAATGTAAGCATGAGATTGCTATAAATGTTATTTTCAACTATAATTTCTATTTCCAAGGGGCATAACACATAAAAAAAAGTCGCACTGCACTGATTATCGAGCTCTTCCAAGACCTTGATGATTTAAACTTTTTATATAAACTTCATAAAAGTCTGAAGAGAAATGATGGTGTGAGAGTGCTTTAATGCAATACAATGTTCAACATATAAATTACATTTCAAAGGAACATAATTTGTCAAGAAAACTAATTTGCGCTGTGTTTTTGAACTAAAACAAGACTGATATAAACTTTTCATATAAAGGAGTAGACCCAAGAAAATAAAAGATTTTGAGAGCTAAATAAATTTACACATAATGCTATGAATTACATAAGATCATTGAAACAAGATTTTTTTTTCATCTTATGACATCAAAGAAGACATAATATGTGCCTTTTTCATGAAACTGAAGTTTTACATTCATATATAAAGGCAACAGAAGTATACCGCTGTTCGAAACTCATAAATCAATAGAGATAAAAACAAATCCGGGTTACAAACTAAAACTGAGGGAAACACATCAAATATAAGAAGAGAACAACGACACAACAAAAACACAACATTAAAAATTAAAAATGTAACACACACAGAAACGAACTATAATATAACAATGGTCATTTTCCTGACTTGGTACAGGACATTTTAAGAAAAATTGTATGCAGCCAAGAAACAAAATAAATTTAGAAGAGCTTTAATATAGCTATATAAAGTATCTCACCAAATATAAAGTTGTTTCTTGGGTGTGCACATATCTTTCCTTCCTAAAATATACTTTTTGAGATGGGAATAAAACCTTTCCCCAGAATCAGTTATTTTTTACCTGGTTATCTAAATTGATGCAAAGTTAACTGTCCCATTGAATAAAGACCATAGCTTTACATTTAATGGGAATTTTAAATTTCTCCTTGAAAAACCAATCAATCATTGATTAATTTGACTGTACAGAAAATAAAAACTCCTAGTGATGAAAATACATGTACCATACTGGAGGAATACAGCAAATTATACCTTACTTATCATAAACTGACAAATATCCATAACATTTCACAGGACCATTGAGGAGTGAAATAAATAGCATAGGAATCGTTATCAGCTCCCTTTACATGATCAACTAATGGATAACAACCATGGATAATACCATATATACAAATTCATTTTCCGTACTATTCTCAACCAATTTTATTATAATTAAGATAAGGCCACTATTAAAAAAATTCGTAAGGGTTCCGCGGAACCCAGTGTCTCGCCTTCTTTTGCTGTTAATCACAGGCTCAAGAAAAATGAGGAAAAAAATTTACAAAAATATTCCTCTCTATACTATCTTTTGATTGTAAGTAGCTTCTGTCCAAGTTTGGTAAAAATCCAGGATAGTTTATGAATCTAATAAATGTTTTAAAAACTTTAACTGCAGAGTGTATGTAATGTTAACTGGAAGAAAAACTAAGTCCATTTGTAAGTAAAATACGGAAAAAATGGAACAAAATTTTAACAAAATTTCCTTCTAGATACTAGCTTTTAATCATAAACAAGCTTCTGTCCAAGTTTGGTACAAATCCAGGATAGTTTAAGAAAGTTATTAAAATTTCAAAAACTTTAACCACAGAGTGAGTATTTGTGGCCGCCGCCGATGGAATGTAGGATCGCTATGTCTCGCTTTTTCGATAAAAGTCAAAGGCTCGACAAAAATGTTTGTTGGGTGTTTGCCTACCTTACTCTTTTAGAGATGGGTAAGTAGGTAGGCATTTTTTTTGTTTTTTTGGATAAATTTCTATACATGTAATAATGTTTTTGTGCTATATGTGCCTGCAGGTATGTGTCTTATTCTTTCTTTTATATAGGATCTTATGTCTTCTGCTGTTTAATGTTTGCTTATTTATATTCAATATAATTTATGTCTGTGTTTTCAGTCTCAAACGATGTTACATTAAATGTCAAAAATTTAAAAGTTGGATCAAAACCAGGGGTTCAAATTAACACTTGGTATTGGAAGGTCCAGGACCTTTGACACTCCAAACTGAAAGGTCCACAACATAAATGCCAGGTCCTACTTTATTTGGAATATTTCATAACTCAGTAATTTAAGATACAAATTAATGTGTTTAATGTCTTAGGTTAGCTTGTTTAATTATATTTGAACTGCCAGGCAACCATATAAATGTAGCACTAAACTGTCAGTGTCACTGTGGTATAACATGTATAATAATAAATGATGTAATTGTCTTACAAGTATATTATGAATTCAAATAATCTTTTTTTTTTGGTATTGGGGAGGGTGTAACTGTGGGTGGGTGTGTTGTCTCAATTATTGGTAATTATACCATTATCTCAGGGCTTACACTACTTCAGAATCATAGGGAGAAGTGACTTCTCTTTTTTAAACTGATAGGGGGAAGTGGTGAGATTTGAAAGAGAAGTGCTCACTCAAGGCACTACAATGTTTGATTTTTACTATAATATAAAGGGCTATATGTATCTTTTTTTATATTGTTCAATTAATAACCGAGTATACAATTAAAGTAACAGGTCAAATTCATAGCTGTTTAAGTTCATCATATGTTGCACAATTATATTAGTTCCTCTCTTGTTAGAAACTACCAACTAAATATCTAGCACTAATAAAGAAAGAACTTTTTTAACATAAAAAAAGACAAGAAAGTGATGAATGCCTAATTTTTCCCTTTGGGATCAATATTCTTCTGTCAGATGTGCCATTCATGGGTCCGTAGTCATTATCCTTAGAATCCGCATTTCATTCATAGCTGGTCCGTTTCTCGACTCCGATCAGTAGTTTGTACAAATATTTCAATGGCGGACGAGAAAATTTACAAAAATAAATGTTTGAAATGCTATTTGTAAAGGAATATGACGTTTTTAATGCAATGAATGGATTACAAATTTACTTAAGGCAACTTTCATCACTTCTAATGGGTTAAAAAACTTATTTTGACGACAGTTAAAATGGTTTGAAGTACGCTCTCGAGGGGTATACCATGTCAATAGTAATATGGCTTTGAAATGACGATACTGATGGTTAAAAAGGTCGGCAAATTTAAATTTTATTTTCTTTCAAATTGAAGGTCCGTCGGGCGTAGCTAGTAACCAAAATGAAAGTCTGATTGCAATAGTGGAAGGTCACGGACCTCGGACCACCGCTAATTTGAACCCCTGATCAAAACACAATGCAGCATCAATGGAGTCGTCCAAGGAAGGGTGAAACACATCTGGTGACATTTTTGATGTCAAATTAACGGACACTGTGTCTGATTTCTTCAAACCAAAATCCTTCCCCTCGTCAAGGGTTTCCTCTATGACTTCCCTCCATGTGTAATCTGTTTCGAATTCCAGCAGACAATTTCGTATGTTACAATCGGCATTGCTTTTGAAATCGACATTAATACACAGGGTTGAGAATTTTCTCAACCTTTTCTTATCCGCCTCCATTTCTAAACAAATCAATGTAGTATAAAAGCTTTTAAAAAACTATGTTTGGGCAAATGTTTTAAAGATACTGATTTTGAAACCGCTAAATTATGGAGGTCGGAAACCCAGACCCTTCGCTTGATGTCAGACGCAAAAATAAAGAAATAAAAATAAATGAAAAATCGGTTGAAAAATTTTTTTTTGAGTCGGCACCATTTTGAGTGAATCGGTCGGCAAACACCCAACAAGTTTTATTTTTATTTTGGCCTAAACACCTAGCTACATAGTCAAATGAAATAATATTGACATTGATCTAATGTAAAACATATTTTTTATTTGTGATTGACAAATTTCTCAAAGGGGCCTCGGTGGCTGAGTGGTCTAAGTAGTTACTACTGTAATCACTAGCCAGTCAACACTGAGGTTGTGAGTTCGAACCCCGCTCTTGCGGGTGCACTCGACTCCAATCTTAATTGACTAGGATTGTCAGTTTTCCTATCGAAGGTCTGTGGTTTTCTCCGGGCACTCCGGCTTCCTCCACCAATAAAAACTGGCCGCCAAGAAATAGCCCAAAAGAGGTGCTTAAAAGTGGCGTTAAAACACCAAAAATCAAAATCAAATCAAATTTCTCAACAATCATTGACCTGAAAAAGCTGAAATGCTTGCCACTAGAGTAAAGCAATCAATCACATATCACTTTGTCAAGCAATAAAAGTTTACACTAAACAGAGGTTATGTTTTAGTATTGTATTTTGATACCTGGTCATGAAGACATCTATCCAGATAATTCTTTTGGTCCTCACTAATGTACTGTCTACATTCTGGTGCCAGTCTAGTGTTCTCCTTTACTTGGAAAGGCATAAAAAGACCTGATGGTTCTACAGTTGCCTGAAACAAACACAAAATCATATTGATAAGAAACGTTTTCTTGTTTTCTTGAACATGAATATGAGGGTTCTACAGTTTTATATAATTATACAGTTCCCAGATACAAAAGAAACAACTTATTTTATTGTTGCTTGAAATATTTCCTCTAACAACGTCACACTTTTCCAGTCATAACATCTACTTTACAGTAGTTGATGCATTAAAATAATATCTAAATCATTTCAACCATACTTAATTTGAAAAAAAAACAACTTTCAAATAAATCTAATATATCAATAAAACAATTAAAGCTTCTTAATTAAAGCATGCTCAAATACCCCATACCCCCACATTGTTACTGGACAAACAAAATATCACCAGATTCCTAAGTTCAAAGACTCATAACTGCTACAACAGTATGACATAGTATGTTCTTATCTACAAAGTTTCATGAAATTCTGTAGTGTGGATTCAGTGGAGTTGCGATGACAAACTGCTGCAATAGTACATTAAAGCCAAAATTCTAAGTTCAAAGAGGCAAAACTCCTAGAAAATAAATGAGGAATGTGTCCATTGGACACAAATGCTGCCCCTGCTTGCATATAACCTTATAAAGGGACATACCTCAAGAACAGGAAAAGTGACACTACCCAAATTTGTACCTGATCTGTGTTTAGTAGTAATAAGCATTGTGTATAAGTTTCATAACATTTGGTTCCAGCAAACTAAAGTTGAGAAAAGAAACAAAAAATTCAGCAATTTTTCCAAATGTAAAGGCGCATAACTCGAGAACGGAAAAGTGACGCCACCAAAATTCTAAAGTTAAAGACCGGAATCCAATTTTGGGACATACGGACAAGGGTAAAATTTAATGCCCATTCGGTTACACAGGGGGGGGGGGGGGGGGGGATAAAAAAATTGATTAATGATTTCCTGTCGATATGCACATCTACATAGTATGTCCTTGTTATCTACAAAGCTTCGTGAAATTCTGTTGTGTGGTTTCAGCTGTGTTGCGATTACAAGTACAGGACTGACGGATGGGTAAAAAACATTATACCCTGCTGAACGAATTTTTATCAAAAAGTTTACCTTAGAAGATTTAGGTGAAGTACTTGTCTTGATAAAGAAACTCTGAAATGCATCTTTAACTTTCTTTTCTTTTTTCATCTGAAATGCATAAATGGATATTTCTTAATTAACAAATCAAAAACACAACAAACTAGTTGTCTGTAAAGATTTCTAGATAAATACACATTTCTATTCTATTGTTCTTTTGAGAATAGTATATTTTTAGTTTTGGTCGGTAAAGGCATCAAAAATAAATCAAAAACACAACAAACTAGTTGTCTTTAAAGATTTCTAGATAAATATACATTTTAATTCTATTGTTTTTATTGAAAATAGTATATTTTTACTTTTGGTCAGTAAAGGCTTCAAAAATGACAAAGAAAAACTGTCTTTATGGAGCCATACATCTAGGTTCTTGAGGCACAGTGATATCAATTTGATAGTTCTTTTGCATCCTTTTAAAATCTCATTTTCAAACAAAAAACTTGGTATTTAAATAGATGAATTTCAAGTCGTATTTCATGTAAGAGTAAATATATTTACTTTTTCTTCGTTTTCTTTCTGTTTTTCTTCTTCCTTTAGTCTTTTCTCTTCATCTTTCTTCTTTTTTTCTTCATTTTTAGCTCTGAAAACACAATCAATGACTATTACTCTAAAACATGATTTTTCTTCATCACACATACTTGCATTAATGATAGAAATTGTATAAGTTAATTTTCACCATAACTTAACAACTTATACAACCCTATGTATTCTTGTATCATAAGTTTTCGTAACATTTCTTTTTTCTTAAATACAAAATATTTGAAAAATTTAATAAAGAGTACACGTTAAGGCCAAAAAAAATATGTCTGTTTTCGATTACCTGACCGACCCTCAGTCATTTTATTTCCATCGTAAGTGAAAAATGTGATGAAGTAAACACTTTGATGCCATTTTTTTCCAACCAATAACCAATGAAAATATTCCAATTATTAAAAATATGGGAAACACGGCCCATGGACAAATCGGACCACACGAGTGACACGACTCAAAATCATGTCACAAAAAAATAAAATGAAAAAAAATAATAAAATGGAAATACCGACCTACCTACCCTATTTTTTTTAATGATGTAACCTTAAGCAGACATACATATATTTTTTTGGCCTTAAATATCTTGCCTGGCTTGATTGAATATTAAGTTCTTAAAATTGGTATAACAGAAACTTGACATTATCAATCATCCTTGAAAATAAGGTCAAGGTCAGATGAAAACTCTGTCAGATGGGCATGTTCATCTTACAATCATACTCTACACCCAGTATAGTTGATATATGGCTTATAGTATCTAAGTAACATTCTTAACCAGGAAAACTAAACAGTTACATCCCCTGAAACATTATTGTCTTCCCTTAATTCCACCTTCAAATTTGAACAGTTACCCTAAATTTGTAATGGTTGATAATTATAGTTATTACATTGGTAGCATTGAATTACATTGATTTCCCAGTCAAATAAAAACCGATAATTTCACATGTGAAATAAACGTGGTTATTTCACTCTCTGACGTCATACAACAATAGGCGTTGTCAAGACGTCGATAACGTCGGATCAAAACAAATTGTGAATGCGTAGAAAAAAGATATAGTTCCTTACATTTTCTACATTAATTTCATTAAAAAAAGCCATTTGCCAATGTAATAAAAAGAATAACTAATCAAAAAATTCAAATATCGAAAAATATTCAACTCGTGACCGAACAACACTGATAATTAACTCATGCGCTACGCGCATTCGTGAATTAATGTGTTGTTTGGTCACTTGTTGAATATTTTTCTCTATTTGAATTCTTCGATTAGTTATTCTATAATTACAATTGGCTTTTCTGTTTATTCATACTATATGTATTAGTTTATATCTTACTCCTGCTCTTCACGTTTTTTCTTCAACTCATCTTCCTTTTGCTGTAACTTCTCTAATCTTTCTTTTTCTTTTTTCTCCTAAACATGTAGTACAAATTTCATTAATTGGTAAAACCACATTTTTGTGAAATAATAAGTTCTATAATATTGTTGTTGAAAACAAACTACCTTAGTGAGAACTATGTCACCTGTTTCACCAAAGTTTGTAGGAAAAAAATATTGACTTTTTAATTCATTTATCTTTATTATCTGAACTGACCAGTTGCAATAAAATATAAGTTTTGTACAGGTGTTTTTGCAATAAAATACAAGTTTTGTACAGGTGTTTTTGCAATAAAATACAAGTTTTGTACACATGTTTTTGCAATAAAAATATACCAGCATTAATCTTATTCATAATTGTTTACAGTGAAACTCTTGCTTACACAGGTGGCCATGGTCTAATACATAGCACCTAACAATTCATATTGGACTGCAGCAGCTTCTCAGATGTTTTAAATTAGCAGTGGTCCGAATCAAGGAGCTTTTTTGTTTTGGGGTTACAAAGGGTGATGTTGTCAAAAAGGAAACCTGGTGAAAAAGGGTCCAAAAAAGATGAGACAGCCTCAGGTAAATCGTTGATGGTTGAATTGTAAATAAAAACCTCTGACCTCATGTCTAGCAAAGTGTTAAATCCAACAAAAACATTTATAATTGAAAGAAAGCTCATTAGTTTAAATTTTAGAAAATAGAAATGGAAGGACAAGAAATTTTGCACTATTAAGCATTTTTTATATCGATAAAGTTTTTAGTACAGAAATAAGTTTTGCTCTCTACAGTGTGGACTAGAATCGAATTCACGACAAAAGTTTTTTTTTTGGTTTGTCCTGTATTGCTGATAATGTTTTGTTTACAGTTTCTCACTATTTTCTTTAGTTTTTGCCTACCACTAACGGTTCCCCTTGAACTGACCTAATCACAAACTAATACATGAAAACTTAGGCCACCCTTAAAAAATTGTTTGTTTGGCATTGCCGACCCACACTATCAGCAGGTGGGTAGGTAGGTAGGAAAATTATTTTTTTTTATATTTAAAAGTTTTATACATGTAAATCATGAAGTCTCTAGATCAATGGTGTCTAAAGCATTGCAGCATTGTTGTGTGTACATGCTGGCTGATGGTTTCTTTGAAAGGGGTCAACTGTCAATGTCACATTCTACATCATATGGATAATTTCATGTAAGACAGTCAGTTTTATTGGCAGAGTTAACCAAAGTACCCAGAAAAAAACACAGAACTGAGGCAGAAAACTGACAAAATTAACCATATAAAATGTATGACGTAAAAATTGAACTTTAATTGTGGGACTGCCCATTGAACAGAGACCTGATGTCACATCTTGAAGTTGTGGTCACAGTTTGGTAAAATTACCATATTTTAAATGGATCAACCACTACGGCTCCTTGTACAAATAGACGATGATTTAAAACTTTGATTGTTTGCTTTAGTTTTATAAACCACTTTCTACACCATATGGGTAATTTCATGGCAGTCAGTTTTGTTGGCGTACTTAACCGTAGTACTTGAAGGAAAGTGCCAACCTGCGGGAGGAAACTGACTTACCTTATCACATATGACATGAAAATCAAACCTTAATTTTGCAACTGCCCAACAAGGGCTCAAACCAACACCTACATGTAAGGTGTGACAAACTACCATACAAACACGCCTACTGCCCCTGATAAGTTTTGAGGATAAAGGATCTGTACCAAAAGGCTGGCAAAATATTAAAAATTTGGAAGGTTGGCACAAATAGACATGGTGTTTATACTAATATTATCCAAGTGCAAGGTTTTTCAGGGCTAGGTTTCAAACGTATGATGAATTCAAAATGGAAATATGCAGCAGGACAGACAATTTTTGCAGATAAATAAATTATGGGTTGTAATGCTTGTTTGATTGTCTGGTTCAAGAGAAAATTTGTCAATGATAAATTTCAAATATTTAATAAATTCAACAAATGTAAGAGCCACGCATATTTGTTCTGTGATGTCCCGGTGAAATGCTTCTATATCATGAAGCGACAAAGACAAGCAGAAATCAACTGTTTCTGCTTTACAAAATATAAAATTTGTGTCCTCTACAAGGTCTCTCAAAACGTTTCTTTCAAAGAATAGCTGAAAATTTGATTATTGATAAAATCCATCTCCCTTAACCAATGCATTGCAGCATAGGGAGATGCTTCCCCCTGCCAGCCTCTTTGACACTGATTTTGGCAGACTTTTTCTATTCCATGTCATTCAAATGTTTGCTCCCAATACAGTGTAAGGCAAGCGCTTTTAAGATCGTGATTTGAAATAAGTAAAGCCAGAACAAACTCGGCAGATACGATCAAATTCTGGCACAATTTCGATTTTTTTTAAATAAAAAAAAATAAATTTCTGAAACGCAAATAAAATTATTTGGGTGGCAAGTTTTTCAGTGGGTCGGGCGGCAATGCCAAACAAATAAAATTTTATTTTAGATCTAAGCAAAAGTTTCAAAGTCAATAGACCATGAATGAAGGGACAGGGCCAAAAAATCTCCATAGTAATGAGATGTGCCAATGCTAATTCAACTGAATACCAAATATCATTGACCTACCACTAGTGGTTCCCCATAAACTGACCTAATCACAAACTAATACATGAAAACTAAGCAAAAGTTTCAAAATCAATAGACCATGATTGAGGGGGCGGGGCCAAATAATCTCCATGGTAATGAGATATACCAATGCTTATACAACTGCATACCAAATATCATTGACCTATCACTAGTGGTTCCCCATAAACTGACCTAATCACAAACTAATACATGAAAACTAAGCAAAAGTTTCAGTCAATAAACCATGACTGAGGGGGCGGAGCCAAATAATCTCCATGGTAATGAGATGTGCCAATGCTAATTCAACTGCATACCAAATATCATTGACCTACCACTAGTGGTTCACAATAAACTAGACCTAATCACAAACTAATATACTGTTGATGCTGCCGCCGGAAACAGCATACCTATGTCTCGCTTTTTGATTCTGTCAAGGCGAGACAAAAACGGTAAAAATCATTATCAATGGGCAATAACTCCAATAAGAGGTCATCAGACATTTTCAAGATTTTAACTTAATTGTAGATCTTGTCTTGCTGATCATTTTGCTTATTTAAGTTTCTATGCATCTATAATAGTTTTACAGATATTAGACTAAAACGCAAAAAAAAATGATAATAATTGTCATTAAAGGGCATTAACTCCAATAAGGTGTCGTCTGAAGATTTCAACCATGGGGGGACTTATTTATTGATCTTGTCTTGTTGATCATTTTTGGTACATAAAATTTCTCTCTATTATAGTTTTTCAGATATTTGGCAAACATGAAAAAAATCAGTAAAATTTGTCTTTTAGGAGACAAAAAACTCCTATTTTAAATGTTCTGACAGTTTTGAAATAATAGACAATAAGTATATCTCATCATTCTGAAGATTTTTTCCCCAGACAGATTTTCTCCATTCATAGTGGTTTTCAAGATAATTGACCAAACTTGCTTTTTACCCCATGTTCTATTTTTAGCCATGTTGGACGCCAAGTGATGAGAAAAGCTCACTTGGCCTTTTAAGTCAGGTGAGCTAAAAAGGTGGACCTCATACTTTTTGAAGCCAAAGAGCAAAGACCTTTAATTCCCAAAAGTAAATTTAAACCCCTAATTTTATGTATGTGGAACTGTTTCCTTAATACTATTTTAATAAAAAAAAAACAAAAAACTGCAGGAATGGCACAAATCTGTGTAATCAATCATATAAAAAAGTTGTAATGAATTTCTCTGCCAGAATTTATGTACCTATGAGATGAGATTATTCAAATCAATGCTTTTTTTTTTTTTATTTAGATCAACCAGAATCAATTTTACCAATATATTCTGCCTCACTAGAAGAAATGATTACCATAAACTTACAGTTTCTCTTTAACGTAAGGTTGTTCCAAAATTGATCATGGTGGGGTATGGGGGAAAGGAGGCACTCAAAAAAATAAATTGTAGCTGGTTTTATTTTCCTTAGGATTTTATGAGAATTATAAGTAAAATTAACTATCTATATAATGGAAGGTTGCCACTGGCTTGGGAAAAAAACCTTTGACCCCTAAGCGTTTAATTCTGGAACAATCCTAACTTTTTTTAGTTAATAAACAGACTGATACAGTAGTGACTGAATATACAAAAACAAATCTAGAGAACTATAAGTTATAAAGTTGTTTTATTGCAAAGCGTGCAGATGCCAAATTATTTGACGCTTTTATTCTGAGAGTTTGTTGTAGGCTGTATTTCGTGCAAAGGCATAGAAAGGTTGTTTGCAAGACCAAAAGTGATTCCCCGTTAAAAGTTAACTCATACTTTTAAACTTCAAAAAAGAAAGTTTTTTTTTCATTATATACAAATGAAATGTACTTAAAATTCTTTAACTTGAAATCATTAGTACTTTTTCCTCTTTCTTTTGTTTTTCCTTTTCAGATTTGGCAGCTTCTCTTTCCAGTCTTTGTTTCTCTTTCTCTTTTTCCTTTTCCACTCTCTCCTGCTCTTTTTGTTTCTTCTTTTCTTCAAAGGCCTTTAATTTTTCTTCCTTGAGTTTCTGTCTCTGGGCTTCCCTTTCTTTCAACTTTGCCTCTGAAAGCTGGAATCAACCAAGTTTTCAAATTAAAATGTTTTTAATATTTTTTTAAGCATATATATATTCATTTAAAATGTTTCTTAAACAAGTATTGTGTTCATGTGTACAAGTACATTTTGAAGGACATAATTCATTACAACTTTTTCTTTCTTTTGAGTAACAAATGTAGATCTACTAAGTTTTTTGAAAACTTTATATATGGACAATATCTGAATGCAGCATGATCAAATATATTACTTCCTTAAGGTTCACAATATACCTTAGATCTTGGTTTTTTGCCAGATTTAGGAGTTCCATCACTTAAACTATCCCCTGGGCTCTGTGATAAAGGTGTAGCTCCTGACTGTGGACTAATCTTTGATGAAACTGGAGTTTTAAATACTGCTGAGGGTAGACTGCCCTTACCAGGAGTTACTGGGCCAATAGCACTGTTGTTCATATCTGCCAAACTAGTTGATTCATCTGAAACATCCATGTTTTCTTTGTCTGCAGAAATGTCAAAATTTTCCCCTTTTTCGGAGCTATCCAAGTTTTCCTTATTTTCACATGATTCCTGTAAATTTTCTGCTGGAATAAGTCCTTTACTGACTGCTTCAATGATTTGAATGTAATTTTCTACCTTCTGAGTCTCATTGGTAGATGTCCCTTCCTTTGATATGTCAGTTTTGGAAGATTGTTTCACACTGAAGAACTCCTTTATTTTTTTTGATTGACAGGTATTTGTGTCAACAAAAGATACATCAGATTCTTTGCCATCATCTGAATCTGTTATATCAATACATTCAGTGTTAGTTGACGAGGTAATTTCTTCCTGAGAATTTTTACGTACAAACCTTTCCAACGTATTACGAACCCGTATTTTAACATTGTCAGCTTCAGAACTAGAGCTAACTTCTGCTTCACCACTAGTTACTGGAGTGTTACCAGATCCACATGTGGTTCCTGATTTTGGAGTTTTGGGAGCTTTAGCACTGGGTGATTCTGCATCAGATAGTTTTCTTTTCTTTGATGCAGCAGTTGACTTTGGTGAGACTAGCTGTGCTTTATGTTCAATTGTTTTGAATGGTAATCTAGCTGTAAAATACAAAATTTAAACTTTACAGTGTTAACAAGAAACTGAAATTGATTTTTTTTTGTTTTGAATCTTAATCTAGCTGTAAAATACAAAATTTAAACTTTACAGTGTTAACAAGAAACTGAATTTTTTTTTTTTTAAATGTATAGTTAGCATTCATTAAAACATTACATGTAACCTCTCTAAAAAGATTGGCATACATGTAGGTATGTAATTCAGATATACTTGTAGATTGAAGAAAAGAACCATTATCGCACATACCTTGTCTTAGTTTTTTTGATGGTGTACATCCATCATCATCATCAGCAGAAGGACCTGAAAATAAAAAAAAATATTTTTTTCAGTTTCAACATATTCAAATTTTTTGGCTATCACTATACTGTCTCCTCCCCCAGTGTTCCCTCCATTGTGGCAAGACTTCCTTTTGACTCCCTGTTCTTGCATGTTCATACCTATTATGCCAATAGACAATGTTTTAAGGAAGTCTTTCCTGGGTTGCTGTCTTCAGTTGCATGAACATCTCTTTTTAATACTAAAAAAAAAGTGATATTTTAATGAAACATTTTGTGTGTACTTTAAATGATAGAATTAGGAAATAAAATGGAAGAAGACATATAAACTATCTATTCATTTTCCCTTCCTTTGTAACAAAATAAAAATGGCTTTACAACATGTACAAAAAATTAAAAAAAAATCATATTTTAATCATCTATATTAAGAATGTGTTCGACTTATTTTGAAGACCCCTTTAGATCACTACTTCATCATCCTCCTTATTTTACTAATCATAATTACTAGTTCCTTTAATGAAGAATGGTAAGTAAGGGATTTACAAATACACCAACAAAAGAGGAAAGGTTTGCCCTTGCTGTTTTTTGTCATAATTCTTCATGGACTCCTTCTTTTCCCTTGTTGTTTGTCAGTTTTTTTTGTTTTTTTTTGCAGGACGAAATTTTATTCCAAAAAATCTGTATATTTTTACCAGAGACCTATAATTTAGTATATATTATATGTCAGTGATAGTGTTTGCCTCAAATTACATCCGAAATACAGCTTTTTCCCCTAAAGAAAATTCCCAATTACTAAAAAAAAATGGCTTAAAATTCCTCCCAATAAGTTGTACAATTTTCCCAAACAGTGATGGCATCGGTAGTAATGTATGTAAATTTCATATTCATGTTATTATTTGGATATTCTGAAAGCACTTTTGAGATCCAGGTTTCTGATCAGAATCATCACGGCGTTTGTAACACACGTGGTTTTCAATGTATTAAGTACCATCATTGTTTCAGTTTCTTTCCCCTCCCCAAAAAGTACCTTTCATGTTAAAAATGTCTGAGGTGACAATCAAAATATACGTGAATAAACTGATAAACTGTACAATAAAGACAGCAAAAAATGTTGGATTTGTTGACAATATTTTGTAAAATTCCTAGTTATAAACAAAATTTTGACTAGCCCGTCGGACTACTGTGATGGAAACTTTACTAGCCCTCCCTAATTTTTACTAGCCTCAGGCTAGCGGACTAGCGTTAGTGTCGAACCCTGAATTTAACAATTCCCTAATTTTTATTTATGAAAATAAAAATATTTTGATACAAACATCTAAAAAATATCTAATAATTCCATCAGGTTTGTGAATAAAAAAAAGGTGCGAATGTGAAGGGTGCGAACGGACCCAGGGGCAAACGTGTGTGGTGCGAACATGTATTGGGCGCGAACGGATCCAATAGTTGATACCATTTTCCCCATACCTTATTTTATTAAATTTCGAAGAAAAAAAAATTTGATTGATAGCATCGAAAAACTAAAAAAATGTTTCAGACTCAGACAAAAAACCATAACCCCCCCCCCCCCCTCCCTTTTGAAGTTAAATGGTTGCTCCCTAAGATCTAGTCACAGGCACTTGTTTTCTATCCATGTCAAGATCTACTATCCCTATATATTACGTAATATAGGGATAGTAGATCTTGCCAAGGATAGAAAACAAGTGCCTGTGGATCTAGTAACAGTAACAAGTAAACAATTATGTTTTTCAAATTTCAGTATGTTCTTATTTTAACTGAAGGATGTTTGTCACTTTGTCACTTACCATTGTTAACATTTTGCACACAATCTACTTGTGCCATTGTCTTTAGGTTATGATAAATGATTGAATTTCGTCCAAAAGAGTGGTTTTCTTAGTCTTTTTTATAGGAGAACGTCTAAAAGATAATCAAACTTGGCGGGAATGTGTAGCCGCTTCAGTCCGCATCGAATATTGTTCAATAAAATTGCAAATCAATAAAATTTATTTCAAAACTCATTCTCAAACAATACAAGCAGACTTTAAACTTTATAGAATATTGTTAAAGACAAGGAAAAATTAAAGTAAAAATTATTTATGCGGATATTCACTGCGAAGTTCATGCATCTAACGTCAAGACTTCCGGATGGGAGTAAACATAACTAATTTTAGATTTGTTATTTTTAAGTGAAACAAACATTACCAAAGATGTCGTTCGCAGGATTAAAAAAACAGTTCAACAAAGCAAATCAGGTATAACTAGCGGTATATAAACAAAGTTCAGTCGTAGACTTACAGGATAAACAATAGGAACTTTTAAAGATTTGTTGTCCACCAAAAGGCAAAACGATTACTTATTGAATATATATTTCGAAATACTTTAAGGTTCATCATTTCAAATGGACAAATATGGCTAAAAATTCTCTGAGTACAGAAAACATGTGCAGGTTTGAAAAGTTATAAGGCCTAGCATTCACTAGAAACAAAAAATGTATATATAAAAGTTAAATGCATTTATTGTTTCTGAAAGATAGAATCTTTTTTGATTTTGTATGGCTTGGTGCTTGACACAGCAGTACAATGATTTCCAGAGAACTTCCAAAAACTCAATTTGAACCAGATAACCGATGGATATTACCTGAAAACTCTATTTTGAATGGAGAAATATGGCTTTATAGATAATAAAGTCTATAATTTTGATATGCATGCCATTTTTTACTAAGTAAATGCTCAATTTAACTTCAGGAATTCGATTTGTGTTTCTTGGTTATGACGGTATCAGGTCCGTTCGCGCCCAATACACTTTCGCACCCTACACGTTCGCACCCCACACGTTTGCACCCAATTTTTATTCAAATTTTAGTTGAATTATTAGATACTTTTTTATATGTTAATACCAAAAAAAATATATTTTCCTGAATAAAAATTGGGGAATTCCTATATGAATGTTTTTTTTTGTTTTATTTTTTCATCAATTTGATGATTAATTATTAAATGTTCATTATGTACAAATGTATGATTACTGCTAATTGGTATTTATACACAGCTAAATTTGGTATTATTGTTGTGTGTTTGAAAATCATGGTCCGAGTACACAGTTATCGTCCTTTGATTTTCGTTGTCCATGAATATAGTCCCTAGTGTGGACAGTGTGTTACTTGCCAGTTTTTTTTATACCCCTTCCAAATTTATTTCTCCATGTTTTATGCCTCAAATAGCAAGTAGGGGGGTGAAATTACACTGTAAAAAAATTTGGGTCATGAATTTTAAAGTGAAGTAGTGATTTGGTCCAGCTGAAAAAGGTTAAAAATTAGCACTTTGGAAGTAGTTAGAAGATTTCAAGACCCCCTTAACATGAAATTGTCCATATTTTGAGTTAGAGCCGATGAAGTTTTCTATAGTTTTGATATGATTTGTCCCAAAAGTAGTACAACACACTGTAAAAATATTATTGAGAAAGCGCAGGTGGGATTTTTTTAATTTTCATTTATTGTCTTAAAGAAATGCACTACAAAATAACTGTGTACTCGGACCTCATGATTGTTGTTTTAACTTGCTTTGATGTAAATACTGCATGTATTTAGCTTGGTATGAGTAAAACATTGAAGATTTTAAAAGAAAAACACGAAAGATAATTGATTTTAACAGCTTGGCCCCTTTGATCTCACTTTATTAAGAAACAATGAAAAATAAAATTATATCACAACACTAACCAAAACATAATTTAAGATTTATTAAGCACAAAAAAAAAAAAAACGTGAGAATCTCACTTTATTTTGAAACAAGGAAAACATAAATTTATAGCAATTTACTAACCAAAAGATGATTAAGATTTATTCAACACAAAAAAATGTTTTCAGAATCTCACTTTATTTTGAAGCAATGAAAAAAAAAATATTTACAGCAATACACTTACCAAAACTCGATTACAAAATTATTAAACACAAAACCAATAAAAAGGGTGCGAAAGTGTAGGGTGCGAATGTGTAGGGTGCCAAAGTGAAAGGGGGCCAACGAGAATGGGCGCGAATGGACCCGGATTCGTGTTTCTTGTATGTAATGTCCCTGTATAACAATATGGGGAACATAATCATTCAAAAAGGTAGATAGCCCTATCTTAATTAATTAAAAAAAGATTATAATTTTTTTATAAATTTTAAGTTTTCTAAAAATATTGTAATGTATTTCCATTGTTAAAGAAACTCCATTTAATCCTTCAGTACTTTTTTATACTTTTTTTTAGTTAGAGTTGTCTACCTTTTAAATAATTACGGTTGCCGTATTGTTATCTAGGAACTTGAAATTACTAAATAAACTAATTTATTAATAAACTTCAAGTCAGGGTTGGCAAAGTATTACCCGGGATTTAATGGGCTGAGCAATACTCCCTGAAATGGGTAATACTGGGCAATATGATTTTTTAAGCTTATTTTGACACAGAATAGTAAAGACTTCTTGTAGTTTCATAGTATTGTAGCTAAATATATAAAAATTACATACAGATAACTATTGAGAGTCATTTCTAGAGGACTGAAAATTCAATTTCTTCCTTTTCTTCAATAATTCTTTGTAGGCAAAATACAAGTTTTTTGTACATTTTAGGATACCTTGTCAATTTCCAAGCTTTGTTTTAGCATGTTTGATAATCTAAACTTTTAAAAAATACATTTTATTGCAGTGTTTAAGTGAATTGTAAATATTTATTGTTATACTATCATATTGTTAATTAACAACCTGAGGGGACATGTCATGAATACTTATAGAAATGAAAAGGCTGATTATTGTTATATAAACATATATGTGTTATATAACCTGGATAATTACTTATTAATTAGTGATGTACATATGTATACTGCTTAATAAACATTTTTAGCAATGAACAGAAATGTTTAAAAGTAATTTTCCTTACATATAATTGTTTATTCTTTTAGAATAGTTGTATATATATTTAAAAAAAATCAAATTGAATTCTTTGGCTTTATTTTTATAACCATTTGACAAATCTAGACAGAATGTCGAATTTTTTTTTAAATAGATTTTTAGGAGGATTATTGAGAAAAGCTTTTCACATTTGCCTAATGTGTCTTCATGTACACGTACACTTGTCTTAGAGTTGCTGGTACAATAATTTGTCAGATTTATACACTTTATAATAAGAGTCTCAAACAAGTGAACTTATAAATCAAAATACTATTTTTTATTTTTATAAATATCTTTAATGTATTGCATTTGAGATTAATCACTGAATCCCCTTTAAAATTAAGGCCAGTATTTCATATTACCGAGTATTGCTCAGTATTACTCTGTAAAACCCGGGTTTTCCCAGTATTTCCCACTGGGCTGGGCATTACTCATAAAACCCAGGTTTTTGCCAACCCTGCTTCAAGTGTAGATTTACTGAACATGATGAGAAAATTCAGTAGTACAGATAATATTGAAATCCTTAAGGATTCAAAACAAGTGATTGTAGTAAGCTCACTGAAAACCTATATACATTTGTATTTAGAAACAATTTGGCAATGGACTATTATGGTGTTAATGACCATTTCACTACCTTCATTATGTTTATCTAAATGTTAACATCTTAATATTTTTTTTTCCATCTGTAAATAGATATAGGAAGATGTGGTATGAGTGCCAATGAGACAACTCTCCATCCAAGTTACAATTTATAAAAGTAAACCATTATAGGTCAAGGTACGGCCTTCAACACGGAGCATTGGCTCACACCGAACAGCAAGCTATAAAGGGCCCCAAAAAATTACTAGTGTAAAACCATTCAAAGGGAAAAACCAACGGTCTAATCTATATAAAAACGAGAAACGCGTATGAACTACATAAACAGAAGACAACTACTGTAATCAGATTCCTGACTTAGGACAGACTCGGGACAGGTGCAAACATTTGCAGCGGGATTAAACGTTTTAATGGTACCAAACCTTCTCCCTTTTCTGAACCAATAGTATAACATCACAACATAGAAAAACACACTATAAAATATCTATTGGAAGGCTTAACTCAATCACAAAATGTAAATTAACACACAATGAACGAATAAATTTGACCTGTGACACCTGAATGCAAATACATAGTTAATAAAAAATTACAAGGGATAAATAATTAAAGTCAAAAGTAAATAAACAGGTTTAAACAAAGTTAAAGTATGATACACTTATGAACCACATCAACAAACGAAAACTACTGAACATCAGATTCCTGACTTAGGACAGGTGCAAACAGTTGCAGCGTGTTTAAACGTTTTAATGTACCCTTGTTTTAGGATAGATTCTATCTCAGAACTTTCACCTACTTTACACCACGAAATATTAAACAAACCTATGTTCGAAACATCAACAATGGCATCATTTTTGTTCCAATTAGAGAACAGATCATGACAACACCAAACCTGTTACCATGGTTTAGCATTATCGAGGTCAAAGGTTGCAAAATCAAAACTAAAATGTATACTATGTCTGGGAAAATATATCACATAAATGAGCATATATGTACATGTAGGTTTTGTATCTACTTCCAGGATTATTTCAGTTTACAGTAATGCTGCAATGACCAAATAGCAGATGAAAAATTAAAAAGCATATAAAATGCCAATACTGACTTCCTTTGTACATACTTGTTCTGAAAAAAACTTAATTGTCCTTTTCAATCACTGAGAGCGTTGAAATAAATTATATAAATCATGAATCAAAAACTATTAAGTAAAAGAAATGTTGAAATTTTAAATCAGATTTCACGAATTCAGTTAAATTTATAAAAAAAAAGGTAATAAGGCATGACTGCTTCCTATCTGAGCTTAACTAAATAATTTGATGCAAGTCCTTGGCTTAGACCTTGACAGTGAATTTTTTAAACTCTTGTTAAAGTATTCTCTTATTGAAGAGTGGTAAATAAATTGAGGTGCTATATATATATATATAATTCGTCTAAACAACAGCCCATGCCAACAATGTTAGATCTGTAAATTTGCGGAAGCAAATTTTTTGTTCTTCCCTGGCCGGGATTCAAATTCATGCTACTGAGATATCGTGGCACCAAATCCCCTTGCACTATGCCCGAGGCACTAGACCACTCGACCACCTAGGCTCTTTAAAATAAAGCTTTCGGTGGACGGGTGTTACCTTTCCTTGTCAGTTTTTATCTAGCGTCGTAACACAGATAGATCAAACCTATGATTGCGTTGGATTAAAACCGCAATTTTTATATGTGTGCATGCAAAATAAATTTCTTGGTAGAGGGGTCTAAATACAGCACAAACAACATTTTCCAAAAGACCGAAAAAGTGAAAAAGTATATTTTAACAAAACGCTTTTGACTTACAGGTCGAACAAAGTATGTTCTTAAATCCTGCTGACTGCCATTGGCGATTGCCAAATAAACGGATCACAAGATGTAACAAAATGGATCTTTATTATTAATTTATTACCAAACAGAAAACAATAAACTTGCGGAAAAGATGGTATACGGCAAACATGAGGTGCAAAAATATGTACACCATATCCGGATTTCATACATATATATGCAAATTACGAATACATCCAATCTGATAAATTTTTTAAAAAGTTGTATGTAAATGTATGCCATTATAAACTTCTTATAAGGAGAACCCTCGTAGATGACTTGGAACTATGTAAACATGAAAGTCATAGTTAATGGCTCTGAGGTGCCATTGCATTGTACATATATGTGTACTGATTGCTGTAGTGTCTGCCAGAATAGCTTCCAAAGTTAATGCATCATGTCTTTACTTCAGGCCAAAACAAGCCTGGGCAGCCCATGACTAATAGAGCATTTCTTGTACTAGTACATGTAGGTGCCATTGGAAACCAATTATTGGGAGCTATCAAGCAGTACAATATGTTTTCTACAAAACAGTAGATACTTTTATCAAGTACCACATTGTAGGATATGATTGGCGGAAATAAATCAATAAAAAATCTTATTTAAATTATTATATTTTTGTTTTTAATCATTCCATTTTTGGCTTTGGCTTAGACCTGGTGCAGGTACATGGTAATATCTCATTCCAGACATTTATATTGGTGCTTTTTATTCTCTTTTTGCAGTATATGAGTGAAAAGATAGGTGGTGCTAAAGGAACAGAGCTAGATGATGAATTTATTGAAATGGAAAGAGTGAGTAGTTTGTATATTTATGTGTATTGTGGTTGCTACAGGATTTAACAACTAAAGAAAAGTATCAACAATCATTTTACATAGTGAATCCATAGATCTACAGTACATATAAAAACATATTTTTAACACATTACTACAATAAATCGTAATAAGCAGTTTGTTTAGTAACATACTAGTTTATCGAAGATTGTGATGACTGGCCTGAAACACATCATGGTAGCTATATAGCATGCTTGTCTGAAGTATGGGAGGCCATGGGTTGGATCCTTGGTCATGTAAACTGAAGACTTTAAAATTGATAGTTGCTGCTTCAATGTAAGCACACTGTATTAAGAAGTAAAAGCAAAGACTGGTCAGCTTGAAATCAGATAAATGTGTTGTGGTAAAGATGACATGTGAACTGTGAACTAGAACATTAAAAATCAAACTGAGTGTGTCGGTCAATTACAAAGCAATGTTCATATTCATATCATTCTCATGTTCTTACCCTGAATATGCATGAAACTTGCATCGGAAAGGGGGGGGGGGGATTGGGTTACACAGCCATTCATCATCATCATCCTTTAACACATTTTTAGCAGTAAAAACAAACGTTACAGCAGAAAAGAAAAGAAACAAGGTTTTGATGAATGAGTTTTTTTTGTTTAGAAAACAGATGTCATGGGAAAATGTGTGGATGACCTGATAGGTAAAACAGAAGAATTTCTACAACCCAATCCAGGTAGAGTGTATTAAAATTGATAAAATGAAGTGTCTGGATAACTATCTGATTGCTATTGTTATATTTTGATAAATTGAACAATGTCTAAGGCACTGTCATTAGGATACTTCATGAGAATTTTTGCTTCTTTGGAAAAAAATTGGAAACAAATTTTATCATGTCTTAAAGGTCATACTGTAACTATGATTGTGTTGATAAATGATTGAGGGGAATAAAAACAATGTCAGAAAATAAGTAAAGTTTAAAATTTTCATCTTAATTATAATGTATACAAAACTACAGAGGAAACAGATTCATTTTTATATAGACCCCATCATGTCCGTATCAAGTGTCAAATTATTGGTGATTTATTTGAAGGTAAATTCTTAATCAAAAGCAAATCTTACATTTTGTTCTATTGGAAATACACGTAATTGAAAATCAGAATATGTTTTTCCCTCTGGCACTCTACAGTGTCATGCATGAATGATTACATGAAGATGATGCTGCTGCTTAAGATAAAAGAAATTATAATGATACAAAAAGGTTTTTCTCAGCAATAATTTTAGATAATTAAGTCTTATTATATCCTTTGATATCAAACAATATAGTTACAAATCTTGAAAAAGTTAAAATATTTAATGCTTTACGAATTGCTGATCATATAATAGTATTTGTTTTCTGTATTATTTCAGCCTCCAGAGCAAAATTACGAACAGTAAACACAATATCGAAAATGAGAGGTCAGGCAAAAACAGGTGCCTACCCACAACCTGAGGGTACACTTGGTGAACACATGTGTAAACATGGGAAAGACTTAGGAGAAGATTCCACATTTGGTAAGTTCTGTTATAACTTCTTTAGATTGGGGTGATGGAGAGTAGAGTCTTTCCAGGCAATTTCGGTCTATTACAAACTATTGCAGTTTTTATACGACCGCAAAAAAATTTTGAGGTCGTATATTGGTATGACGTTGGCGTCGGCGTCGTCGTCCGAATACACAATGGTTTTCGCACTCTAACTTTAGTTTAAGTGAATGGATCTCTATGAAATTTTACCATAAGGTTCAATACCACAATAGGAAGGTGGGGATTGATTTTGGGGGTTATGGTACCAACAGTTAAGGAATTAGGGGCCAAAAAGGGGCCGAAAATAAGCATTTTTGTAACTTCCAGACATAACTTGTGTGTTAGCATATGGATCTCTTTGACATTGTACCACAAGATTCCATATCACAAAGGGTCAATGCTGGGATTGATTTTGGGGTTAATTGCCTCAAAATTTTAGGAATAAGGGGCCAAAAGGGGGCAAAAAACAAGCATTTTTCTAGTTTCATGACAATAACTTGTGTGTAAGTGTATGGATCTTTCTGAAATTTTACTACAAGGTTCCATTTCACAAAGGGAAAGCTGGAATTGAGTGTTGTGGTAATTGCCCAAAACGTTTAGTAATAAGGGGCCTAAAAAGGGGTTTAAAATAAGCATTTTTTAGTTTCTAGACAATAACTTGTGTTCAAGTGTATGGATCTCTCTAAAATTGTATTACAAGGTACCATACCACAAAGGCAAGGCTGTTATTGAGCTTGGTTTGGGGGGAAGGGGGGGGGGGGGTGGGGGTGATGAATCATAAGGGGGGCGGGGGTCAAAAAAGGGGTAATTTTTTTTTTTCCTTTTTTTTTTGTTTAAAATTTACATTTTAAGTTAGTTATTTTTTATCACGAAGAGAAAGTAGGAATTGAGTTTTGGGGTTAATTGCTCAAACATTTATGAATAAGGGGCCAAATATTGGTCAAAAATAAGGATTTTTTTAGTTTGCAACAAAAACTTGTGTTCAAGTGTATGGATCTCTGTGAAATTGTATTGCTATGTACCATACCACAAATTGAAGGTTGTGATTGAGGTGGGGGATGATGAATCAAAAGGGGGTTGAAAAAATGTGTGGGAGGTAGGATTTTTTTTTTCCTTTTTTTTTCTTTAAAATTTTCCATTTAAAGATGGTTGTTTCAGATTTATATATGAAAGAAAATAATAATGATACGGTTATATATCATGAGGAATTGAAATTTAAAATTATGTATATTGGAAATTTAGGTTACATTGGAAAGTAATAATTGGCTTTGGGGGGGGGGGGGGGGGGGGGGGGGGGAGGGTGGTTATGGCTCTAATGTTTAAGGAATAAGGGGAAAAAAGGTTAAAAAACAAGGGTTTCCATTTTAATAGACAAATAATTGAGTAAAGAACATTATTTAAAAGCAGTGTAAGGTTGGTAATTCAAACTCATTTAAATATCTCATCTACACTGCTTTTAAATTATGTAAATTGGAAATTTGCCAATAACTTTATTGTTAATAAATGCATTGGAAATTTGCCAACAATTTTAGTGTAATAAACTTCATTGGAAATTTGCCAATATAAAATTTTGCTGATGAAGGTTTTTTGTTTACCTTTAGCCTTGACTATGAAGTCATTTTCTATTTTTATAGCCTTATGATGTAGTTGAATTATTTAATACTTTTATGATGTGTTTAAATGGGGTTTTATCATGTTTATGGTTGCAAATTTATTGTTTTAGTATAATAAACTCCATTTAAAATTTGCCAATAAAAAAAAATTTTGTTTATTTTTAGCTATGATTATGATGTCATTTTCTATTTTACTTTTATGGTTGCAAAGAAATTTTTATTTTTAGATATTACTGTTAAATGATGCTGATTAAGGTTTTTGCTATGTTTAGCCATGACTATGATGTCATTTTCTATTTTAATATCTGTTATGATGTATTTAAATGGGCTTTTATGGTTACAAAGGAATTTTATTTTTAGATATTACTATAAAATGTTGCTGATGCTGATGCTGATTAAGGATTTTGTTTATTTTTAGCCATGACTATGATATCATTTTCTATTTTAATACCTTTATGATGTAATTTCCATTTTTAAAGGCAGTGCTTTAATGCCTTTCTAGTTGCCGGGTTAATCCTTCCTTCCGCGATATCCAACTTATCTACGTGGGGGGTCATTAGACTCCAAGTAGATCCGGAAATGTTGAATTCTCTCCTCTTCTTATTGCGATATAAAATGTTTTTTGTTTCATTTCATTTACATTGGGAAATAGAGAAACGATCATTGTGTTTTGTTAGTTTTAAAAACTTTTGATATATTAGTATTTTGCATTATAAGCAGTCAACCGATTGACAAACTAGAATTATTTGAATTCCGTGTGGAAAGAGCTCGGGTTAATTTCGAGTGTTATCTGCAATCTAGATGTTTATAAATCATTTCAGTCGTTGATATAATAATTAAAGGTCGACTGAACATGAATTATATTATACAATTTAAAGCGCATTTCTGTTTATGCACGTGAACCCGTCTAACGTTATTTTCGCAGTTATATAAAGTAGCAAATTATCGTTCCTGAATAGGTGGCGCCGTGGTAGCGGATCCTGTTCCTCTTCTTCCGGTTTCTGCACTGTGCAACTATTTCAGTTATATTTTTAATTAACGATGCCAAGTACTTGTTGTTGTGTACCTGGATGTCATTTAAGAGGAGGACATGCATTTCCAAATGACTTAAAAAGAAGGAAAAGTTGGATCAACGCCATGGCCCATACGCAGATTGGACGAGAACACGATGATATCGTGGAGTCCATCTCAATCAGCTGTTGTTTGCAAGGCACGTTTTACTGAAAAAGACTACGTGCAGGAAACTATTCATGGTAAAACTCTATTTTCTTTATGAAATATATAGTTATATATGTAATCTCCATGCGAATAAACCAAAGTCTGTTTACAACCGCAATTATCGTTTTAGAATAAAAGGGGGTGGGTAATTCAAGACTTCATAATTTTTTGGATTACGATTCAATGTGATCTGTTTGAGATTTTTTGGTGATTGCTACAATTATAATGATTTCTTACAAGAGGTATATCATACTGAGAATTATTTTAGCAGTAATTATGCTAATGTAGTAATGACAGGAATGCATAAGCTATGCCTCATAGACTTTCTTGAAAAATATAAATGACAATGTTAACAGGAACAAAACAATGACATGCTCTCATCTATATTATAGTTATTTAGGTACAAACAATGTACGTTTGTTGCATAAGTCTCTCATTGTTTGTCCTTTGGATTTACATAACATACATTGAATCAGGCAAACATAGTTTTATCCAGATTGTAATGAATAAATCTAGTTAATATTTCGCCAGGTAGTACAAAGTATACATTGCTAATGGAAGTTCATTTAATTATAAAAAATCTAATGTTTTATAACCTTTTTCAGGGCGCAAACCCACCATACAGAGACTTAAGTCTACTGCAATTCCCAGCCTATTTTCCTGGACCAAGCAAGAGACTGAATCGTCCGCAAAAAGAAAAATCAGGGCAGTTTCCTGTGAAAACAAAAGAACTAAACTTGATGAATATTGTAGTAGAAATCTAGAGGAAAGTTTTGATTGTAAAGTTGGTTTTCCTGAAGAAGTCATTCATACTGCAGAAAGGATTTATGACTGTCCACCACCAACTGCCGAGCTAATGTTGAGCTTCACAGATGGAATTACGCAAACACCATCAATGCCTATGTTTTCAGCAGAGAATTTTGAAATGAAGACACGTGACACAGCCATGCATTTTTATACCGGTTTAGAGTTGTATACTAAATTTTTATTTGTTTTGACCACACTTGGTCCAGCAGCACATTGTTTGAGATACATATATTTTCAAATTGATAGGGTGTCAGTTGAAAATCAGTTTTTTTATGACTTTGATGAAATTGAGGCATCATACAACCAACTTTGAACTGTCTAGATTCTAGATCGAATCTAGTGTTAAGAATATTGTGTATACATGGATTATTTTTATGTCTAAACAGTGGTGTGAGGCTAACACTTGGCCATCTAGTGTTTTAGTCAGGTATTTTTCACCATCCAACTTCAAATTAAAGTTTCCTACGACTTGGATTATTATTGACAGCACAGAATATCCCGTGATAAAACCTAAAGCTCCTAGAGCTCAGGCAACCTTTTCATCAAATAAAAACAGAAACACTGAAAATTCTTGAATGTTCGACACCTGGTGGTTTAGTCAACTATGTCTCTATGTCACATAGAGCGAATTATTGGACTTGGCAAAACATACAAAATTCTAATAAATCCTATGAATGAAACTGAAACAAAACTTTCATCTGAAATAACATTTAGTTGTTGTACATGTTGTATGTTGTGTAATTTTAGAACTTGTATTGTGCCAAAGGATGCATAAATAAAAGTGACGCAATGAATTTTGTTCTGATATATATATACATGTATTTACAATTACATGCACATGTAAATTGTAATGCATATAGAAATAAGGAGATGTGGTATGATATTCAGTGAGTTTATCAAACTAAAGTGCATAAGAAATGGGTTTAAGCAGTAACAGGTGTTACTGTCACCGTACAATCTCCAACAATGAGAAAAACTCGTACCCTGTAAAAAATTTCAGAGATCTTACAACTAAGTTTTGTTGTCTCACCTTGACTTTGGTGAATTTTTTATATCTGTTGATGTAAATATAAAAAAGAAGATGTGGTATGATTGCCAATGAGACAACTCTCCACACATGCACAAGAGACCAAATGACACAGAAATTAACAGCTATAGGTCACAGTACGGCCTTCAACAATGAGCAAAGCCCATACCGCACAGTCAGCTATAAAAGGCCCAGAAATGACAATGTAAAACAATTCAAACAAGAAAACTAACAGCCTATTTTATGTAAAAAAATGAACAAATATAACAAATATGCAACACATAAACAAACGACAACCACTGAATTACACTTTTATAGGCTCCTGACTTGGGACAGGCACATACATGTACATACAGAATGTGGCGGGCTTAAACATGTTAGCGGGATCCCAACCCTCCCCTAACCTGGGACAGTGGTGTAACAGTACAATATAAGAAAGAACTATAAAAATCAGTTGAAAGAGGCTAAACTCATCAGATGGATAAATACAAATACAAGTGGACGTGGTTGGGTAGTTGTACATCCAAACAACAAAAAGACACTAAGTACAAATCTGAGAGTACTCGCAGTTACTGACAGCTAGTTCAAAGCCACTAACAACTGATAAAAAAATCTTGCATCTAAGACTAAATTATCAATCCGTAAGCTCCCTTTAGAATTTTATATATTTTAGATTTTACATTTCTGAGTTATGGGGTTTTATTCATTAAAAAAGGGGGGATTTTCCAGTTTTTGGACAACAACTCAAAAATGCTTTAAGCAGTTCACATGAAACTTTGGTGAATTATTTATAGCTATTGATGTAATCTCGCTATTGATTTTCATAAATTTCAAATATGACATTGAGAAGAAATTGAACTTTATTTGTTTATAGTCTGGCAACAGATTTATTAAGTATTGCACAACAGCAAGAAATCTTTAATTGAATATAAATTCAATTCATATAACCGATTTCAAGTTCATTGACTACATTTATTCAGAAACTATAATATGTCAAATATTTAATTACAATCCAAATTCAGACCTGTATCAAGCTTGAATATTGTGTCCATTTTTGCCCCAGCTGTTCAGGGTAGTACCTCTGCGGGTGTATCCAGCTGCGCTCAGCGAATCAGTTTATTTCTTAATTAAGAACTCCTTTTTATACGACAGCAAAAAAATTTTGTGGTCGTATATTGGTATGACGTTGGCGTCGTCGTCGGTGTCGTGATCCGAAGACACATTAGTTTTCGCACTCTAACTTTAGTTTAAGTGAATGGATCTCAATGAAATTTTAAAATAAGGTTCAATACCACAAAAGGAAAGTGGGGATTGATTTTGGGGGTTATGGTACCAACAGTTAAGGAATTAGGGGCCAAAAATAAGCATTTTTGTAACTTCCAGACATAACTTGTGTGTAAGTGTATGGATCTCACAAGGTTCCATATCACAAAGGGAATGCTGGGATTGATTTTTGGGGGTAATTGCCTCCAAATTTTAGGAATTAGGGGCCAAAAAGGGGTAAAAAACAAGCATTTTCCTAGTTTCATGACAATAACTTGTGTGCAAGTCTATGGATCTCTCTGACATTGTATCACAAGGTTCCATATCACAAAGGGAATGCTGGGATTGAATTTGGGGGTAATTGCCTCCAAATTTTAGGAATTAGGGGCCAAAAAGGGGCAAAAAACAAGCAATTTACTAGTTTCATGGCAAACACTTGTGTGTAAGTGTATGGATCTTTATGAAATTGTACTACAAGGTTCCATATCACAAAGGGAAAGCTGGAATAGAGTTTGGGGGTAATTGCCCAAAAAGTTTAGGAATAAGGGGCCAAAAATAAGCATTTTTATACGCCCGTTTACGGGACGTATTATGGTATACCGTTGTCCGTCTGTCCGTCCGTCCGTCTGTCCGTCGTCAACATGTCGGACATTAACTCAAAAATGCTTTAACCAATTTGCATAAAACTTTGGTGAATTGTTTATATCTATTGACGTGAGCTCCCTTTCGATTTTAATAAAATTAAGATTTTACGTTTCCGAGTTATGGGGTTTTATTCATTAAAAAAAGGGGGATTTTCCAGTTTTTGGACAATAATTCAAGAATACTTTCACCAACTTGCAAGAAATTGTGGTGAATTGTTTATATCTATTGACATGAGCTCCCTTTCAATTTTTATAAATTTTAGATTTTACGTTTCCGAGTTGCAGGGTTTTATTCATGAAAAAAGGGGGGATTTTCCAGTTTTTGGACAAAAACTCAAAAATGCTTTCAGCAATTCTAATGAAACTTTGGGGAATTGTTTGTATGTATTGATGTAAGCTCCCTTTAGAATTTTATAAATTTTACATTTTACATTTCTGAGTTATGGGGTTTTATTCATTAAAAAAGGGGTGATTTTCCAGTTTTCGGACAATAACTCAAAAATTCTGTCACCAATTCTCATGAAACTTTGGTGAATTGTTTATATCTATTGATGTAAGCTCCCTTTTTATTTTCATAAATTTCTAATATGACATTGAGAATTAATTGAACTTTATTTGTTTATAGTCTGACAACAGATTTACTAAGTATTGCACAACAGCAAGAAATCTTTAATTGAATATAAATTCAATTCATATAACCAATTTCAAGATCTTTGACTACATTTATTCAGAAACCTATAATATGTCAAATATTTAATTACAATCCAAATTTGGACCTGAATCAAGCTTGAATATTGTGTCCATTTTTGTCCCAACTGTTCAGGGTTGGACCTCTGCGGGCGTATCTAGCTGCGCTCAGCGAAGCAGTTTATTCTAGTTTCCAGACAATAACTTGTGTTCAAGTGTATGGATCTCTCTGAAATTGTACTGCAAGGTACCATACCACAAAGGGAATGCTGGGATTGATTTTGGGGGTAATTGCCTCCAAATTTTAGGAATTAGGGGCCAAAAAGGGGAAAAAAACAAGCATTTTTCTAGTTTCATGGCAATAACTTGTGTGTAAGTGTATGGATCTTTATGAAATTGTACTACAAGGTTCCATATCACAAAGGGAAAGCTGGGTTTGAGTTTAGGGGTAATTGCCCTAAACGTTTAGGAATTTGGGACCAAAAAGGGGCCAAAAAACAAGCATTTTTCTAGTTTCCAGACAATAACATGTGTTCAAGTGTATGGATCTCTCTGAAATTGTACTGCAAGGTACCATACCACAAAGGGAAGGCTGGGATTGAGTTTTGGGGTGATGAATCATAAGGGGGTTCAAAAAATTTGGGGGGGGGATTCTTTTTCCTTTTTTTTCTTTAAAATTTTCCATTTTAAATTGGTTATTTCTGATTTATATATAAAAGCAAATAATAATGATATGGTTTGAATAGGTAAATTAAATTTTTTTAAGTATCTTAGACCACTTTCATTCTGTGTCAGAAACCTATGCTGTGTCAAATATTTAATTACAATCCAAATTCAGTGCTGAATCAAGCTTGAATGTTGTGTTCATACTTGCCCCAACTGTTCAGGGTTCGACCTCTGCGGTCATATCAAGCTGCGCCCCAGCGGAGCATTTTATTTCATTCATAAATTACTTTATGCTTGGAAATATAATTTTGCTTGGAGTTGAAAGAGTTGACATGTTGCAATGTACATTTACTCTACATAGTTCTATGGTACCAAATCAAAAGTTTATATAAAGAAAGAAGTCAAAGGTTTCCCATCATAGTTTAGTTACATACATTTTTTTTGTACCTGAGGTCGTTGAATATAGATCATTATATAAATAAGGAGATGTGTTATGATTGCCAATGAAAAAACTAAGGATTTTCTTATCCAAGGAATAGATTTCCTTAGCCGTATTTGGCACAACTTTTTGGAATTTTGGGTCCTCAATGCTCTTCAACTTTGTACTTGTTTGGCTTTGTTACTATTTTGATCTGAACGTCACTGATGAGTCTTATGTAGACGAAACACACGTCTGGCGTATTTAATTATAATCCTGGTACCTTTGATAACTAATTTGACTATAAACATAGATAAAAAAGGTACAAACTGGACATAATGCACTAGTTCATAAACAAGTGAGAACAATCGCCTTCATATAGTGCTCAGAATATGACATTCATAAAACTTATTCAATATCATTAGAGAACTCTAAATCTTAAATACTGAAAGCCACCTCTGATAAGTACACTGTACTATGCAAGATAATGATATAACTGGACTTAAAATACACACAACCTGTAATTAACTGCCTTTACAGCGCTTTCGTGCTTTGATTAGATATTACTGTTATATGATGCTGATTAAGGGTTTTTTGCTATGTTTAGCCATGACTATGATGTCATTTTCTATTTTAATATCTTTATGATGTATTTAAATGGGCTTTTATGGTTACAAAGGAATTTTATTTTTAGATATTACTTTAAATGTTGCTGATTAAGGATTTTTGTTTATTTTTAGCCATGACTATGATGTCACTTTCTATTTTAATACCTTTATGATGTATTTAAATGGGCTCCCATGTATTTAGATTTTTGATTATTTATACATGTTACCAAATTGGTCCACATTGAACAAAAACGGTCCAAATTTCAACTTTATTACATTACATCAAACATTGAATTCTACATATTCTTTGATATATTGAAATTAACAAACAATTTAGTTTATGGATATTCCACCATAATAGGTAAATTAAATTTTTTCCAGTTCTTACACCACATTCATCCTGTGTCAGAAACCTATGCTGTGTCAAATATTTAATGACAATCCAAAGTCATAGCTGTATCAAGCTTGAATTTTGTGTCCA